AGTTCGTATCTGAATCTAATTCACTCTCTTCTAGGGATATGAAATACTCTGTGAGACCGTAAAACTTCTTCGAGTTATCAAATGAAACGAACTCCCATCCAATATGGTGTGAGCAGATACTACATTCCAAGATTTGCCAAGTATACCTATGAATACAAAAGATCAAACAGAAAAATTAAAAAGAAAGTACCCAGGAAACCAAGTGAAATCTTTGGCAGGATCTGCTACTCTATCAAACCCAACAATTTTTTTGAACATTACAAGGTTGTGGCCGTGCCCAACTAAATAAAGAGATTATCAAGAATGGATATGCACACTGATTACATCTATTAACGAATAATGCCTTGGCTCCATGTTCGCAAAATCGGTCCAAGTCGGATATGTTAGCGACAGGATTATTGCAGTTCAAACACATAACAGTTGGTTTCTGTAAAAAAACAATCAAATTAGAAGAATTTGCAACTGAAAGAGAGGATACTTCTAAAATACATTCTTCCAAGAATGCAATTCTTTTAAAAACTTCATTCTCCAACAAAAACCATCTTTTGCTTTCTTCGGAGAGAATAGTATGAAACGAGACCCAATAGGTGAACATAGCTAATCCCTGTAACCATCAATGTAAAATCGGTTTTCTCAATTAACAAAACCAGCTTTAATGTATTGAATACTTCAGTCTCCGTGTACCATTTCAACATATAGTTCTCAAGCTTCTCCAGAACTTCTGCCTCCAAAAGACTTCATGAACAACGACTCAAAAACCTGACATACATGACTTTTAGTTCGTAGCAAATGCGCCGGAACATTGTATATATTAGCAACCGTGCGAATCCCCTAGAATTTAAGATATTAACGACAAAATTATCAGGAAATGAACCTCGTCTTTAGACAGTCGCTGGAAAGTAGTCGGACTCAAATATTTGATGTCCGGGGGAAGATAGTCGGGTGCCACCCGGAACATACAAGTTTCGTCTTAAAAAAAAGTTTTCGATTGAAATACTAAGAAGTGCGGCTCACATTTTATATCATTGTGGGGTTCATAATATTTCAGGATTTCAACTTTTTGTTTGGCTCGGCCATAAGCAGATACAAGTCTATGCATTAGTTCGTAACGGATCAACTATAGCAATAGGCAAAAATAGAGCTTAGAGAATATTACCTCAACAAGAATCCCATTCTCAAAGCTATGAGTTTGCATATCAGTCATGTTTCCACATCCAGTAACTAAGTAAGTTCTCTCTTCGAGAGCTCCAATGATGGACAAGGCACGACTTCCAGTTTCCATGTGGAAGGGGACAATTTCTCCTAGATTAAAAAATTAATAAAAACTACTCAATGTGAAATACCAGGTAAAGAAATTGTGTGACTAGATATCCATGGTAAGACGTGATGACTTCCCACAGGCAAACAACTCACAGGATCAGCAACCTCTGTTTCCCCTTCGAAAACATAAGTGGTGAAGTTCTGGAACACTATTAAGGTTCAAGATTTACAACAGAACAAACCGAATATTCAAATAACGATGGGTTCGATATTTTGCTTTCTTCACTCATACCAGAATTGTGAAGCAAACAATATCAGAAGTAGGCAAAAAGGTTTAATAGTATATCTGACCATGTATATCTAAATATAACGCTTCTGCATGTAAGACAGTGCTGAAGAAAGCGTGCGGCAGTCGGCAAATGCGCAAGGATGGCGCGCTTTTGTGGGAGGCATTAAGCTTTACGTGTTTTATCTGATTACTCATTGATGTATGAATATGATTATATTTTTTAAAATTAACGTGAACGTTTTAATGTTTTTTTTTCTCAAAATAGTGTGTGCTTGGTGTGTACGTGTAATCAGGTTTTCAATGTTGTGATGTCCACAGATTTCATTATAATATGGTAGGTTGACGAGTATTCAACACTCAAAAAAGTGTGCAGTCATTGATGGGAAATACTGAATCTACAAAAAATCCTGAAACAAATAGGAATCCATTCCGACATCATAAGGTATTTTGCATGAACTGTGGTGCACGAATAGCATGCTGGTTACTATTACACAAAAAGCACTGGTTGCATGAATGTACAGATTTGTTTTCAATTTGCGTAGTTGTTTCATTTCAAATTTACATCCTGCAAGCTGTTCGGAACCTTTTGCTCTCTGCTCTCTTTTTTTGAAAGCGCTTTGCATCACGTTTGTTTCAGACTGCTCGAAAAAAGATTCAGGTAAAGGAAGCTAGTATTGAGAATCGAAAACCTGGGATAACTATGCCTTATCACACGCATCCTGTGACACAAGACTACCGAATTAGTCGTAAAGTAGTTGTTTTTTTCACAATAGTCAAACAGTCATTTTTGATGGTTTCAGGTTCTTGGTGTAGGGATAAATGGTAAAGTAGTTGAATGCGAGAATCGTCAAACTGGAGATAAGTTTGCACTGAAAGTTCTCCGAGATGTTCCTAAAGCTCGACGAGAGGTTAAAAATTAACTTCATATAGTTTTGAATATACTATGTTGCAGGTTGAGTTGCATTATATGGCTAGTGGACATCCGAACATTGTCAAAGTAGTTGATGTTTATGAGAATTCTTATAATGAAGTGCAATGCTTGCTTGTTGTAATGGAAAGTATGAAAGGTGGAGAACTGTTCAATAGAATCCAGGTAATATTACGATGGATAGCTAGTTTGATTAACCTTTCAAAATTGATTTAAGGCTAGAGGCCAAAATGCTTTCACTGAGAGGGAGGCTGCTAGTATTATGTATCAAATATGTTCTGCTGTTGCTCATTTACATTCCATGAATATAGCTCATCGCGATATCAAGCCTGAAAATTTATTATACTCAAGGTTCTCATTTACTCTGTTTTCAAAAACTCAGTTTAATGACTTAGTGAGGCAGCTAATTCTGCCCTGAAGTTAACGGACTTTGGGTTCGCAAAAAAGACTGATGAAAACGATCCTCAAGGACTAGCTACTGCTTGTTTCACTCCTTATTATTGCGCCCCAGAGGTAAACAACAGTTTTTTCTTGGCTTATTGGTTAGTTTGAGGTTCTCGGAGCAGAAAAATATGATAAGTCCTGTGACCTTTGGTCCATAGGAGTTGTTATGTATATATTGTGAGTTCCATGCAAATGGTTGTTTAGTTTACATAACACCTTAAGATTATGTGGTTATCCCCCCTTCTTCTCTCAAAACGGCCTTCCAATGTCGCCTGGAATGAAAGAAAAAATAAAATCTGGCCAATACACCTTCCCGTCTCCAGAATGGGATTGTGTTTCGGAAGCTGGTATGACCCAAACTGTTTCAGGCTGAGAAACACGATTGCTTTCAGCCAAAGATTTGATTAAGAGATTGTTGAAGACTGATCCTTCCGAGAGATTCACTATTGAACAAACGATGTCCCATAAATGGATAACCCATTTCAACTCGGTATGGCTTTCTTCCCTTTGTACCTATGTTCATCCCCACCATTAAGGTAGAAAGAAAACATTGATTAGCCAATAGCTGTTTTACAATTTTTGAATATTTTCCTCATTTTCATTAATCCATTTTATGCAGTATTGTACTTCACAACCCTAACCATGTTTTTCATGGCTGTTCTATGTTATGAAAGCAGACAATTTTTAGGTCCCTGATACACCTCTACACACTAGCAGCGTGCTCTTGGATCAACAAGCTCAATGGGGTGACATGCAGGTAACTTTCTCAACTCATCCGGCTTATAATTTTTTCAATCAAAGGATGAAATGGAGAAAACCTTAGCTTCTATGAGAGTTGGACCAGATAATGTGCAGATTAAAAGTTTAGCTGATTCAAACAATAGATTGCTCGCCAAGAGAAAACAGAGAGGAGAGGATGTTATACAAGAAGTAGAAGCTGAACGTGAGCCCGAACCGTAAGGTGTTTTCTATTTTGATATGTTTCATCTTCCATTTTATTTCGATTCGTTTCCTCACTTTCATAGCTCAACTAACTTTACTTTGTGATATAAGCAATACAGTTCTTCATTTCGCTACTAAGCTTGCAGTTATAAACTTGTTGAGTATGTAAAAGAAACAAGTATCTCAATTCTATTCGAAGAATATTTCCTTCTAGTTGTGTTATCTTTATTCTTAATTGTAGTCGCATGTTCTTGTATGATGTTCTCTTAGCTTAGCTCTTTTCTATGAAAATTAATGTTCATGATGCAATCATCCTCATCACAGTCATTACTCCTGTTTCTTTAATAAAGAAAATGTTAACATTCCGTTTATTAAGTGAGTAAAATCTATAAAAGCAGATATCGTCTTTTACTATGGACTTCCCCACGATACGCACAGGCAAATTATGAGATCTCATCATCGACGTTTGATTAGGCATTGGATGGGGGAGTAATAGCAGGGCCGGAATCTTTTTATAGGTGCAAAAGCTGCTTTTTTTTCTTTTTGAAGTGTTGACAACTGCTGTTTACGGTTGCTGCTATCTGATCCTGGCCACATCTCCGGCATGACGATGGGATATTCCTCAGCTTTCATCAATCTGCAATAAAGTTTTTCACTGCTGTACATTGTCTATTTTTAAGATCCCGATTTTGTTGACAAAACCAACTAGTTTCGAGAGGTTTTTCACTTAAATCGAGAAGCTCATTATTAGAAATCTCTCATAGAATTGGCGACAATTAAACACCAACCAAACTCAATGAATGAGAGTCGTCTCAATCCTGGCCATCAATAGAATAGGCTCTTGGATATCGGATATGTAGACGATTTCTGTTTTTTTTCTCACTGTTCGAGTTAGCCGAACTTATCCAAATGTTTTGATCATTTGACAGATTTTTGAAAAATTGACCTTATCGACTCTATGCTCGAATGTAAGATGAGAAAAACAGCAGACAATAAAAATCTTTAAAATTCTCCCAAATTTCTAGTACGGTAGAATGGATGTGGGTGATGATGTGGAAAATGATTGAATTCCCACAGCTAATCAAGAGGCAGTCATGACATCGTCCGGGATAACTTCATTTAGACGATCATAGTATAACGCCAGCTTCACCATTCATCCAAATGATGAAGTTGCCTCAAATTTCAACTGTTCCTCTTCAACTGACTAAAACACATCGGAAGAACCGAATAGATCTAACTAGCCTTCTGAAGTTGTGACATAAGCTCACTTGACCGGCATATACATGACATCGTCGTTGCTTGAACTTTAAACTTATAAATCCGTAATTTCATTTATTTTTTGGATAGGGACCCACAATCAGCGAATAATCGCTCTCAGTTAAAAATAGGCCCGAAAATGATTGAAGCGATGTTCAAGTAGGTTTTGAAGTGAACTCTTCCAATTTTGTCTACACTTTGAGCATTCTGACACGAATACATAAGAATATCTCGAGTGATTAACCCTTTCTATACTTGAAGAAAATGGCAAGTCACAGTTGTTCATAAAAAGAAATTCTAACTCTCTGTTAAAAACAATCTCGTTCAATGTTTTCTCACAACAAGCTAACAACTACTGCTCGAAACCAATATGAAAATCACGAACCTGTTTAAATCGTTCCGTCCATAATAGTCAGGATTACCAAGATAGTAAGCTTGTGTTAAAGTACTTATAAAAACCATAACACAAATAAAAAGACGCATAGTCATCGCTGAGCTTTAGCCAAAAATGTGCTGAAAGAGGGGCGGTCTCAATCTGAGCAACTCAGTCTCTTCCTTTCTTTCTACGTCCCACCCACATACAGCCGAGATGTGTCTCATCTGATAGAAGTTAACCATAGAGGTTACAAAAAAAAGAAATCCAACAAAGTTTACGGACTTTGAGGGCGAAAAAAAGAATTGAGTTCCCCTACGATATATCTTTGAAAGTCCTCATACTAGGAACATTCAAAAATAAACTGAAAGCTAGCGGTACAAACAAAGAAAAACACGCATGAAAGTAGTAGTTGTTAGGCGAGAAGTCATTCGTAAACGAAAGACTTTGTAACTCAACGAAGAGACTAGGATGCGGTCACTATAGATTTACTGGTAGAAAAAAAAAGATCGTGAATTATTCATTCTACCAAAGGCCACTAGCATTTGCTTGATCCGAAAAATATGTAGTATAAGGAACTTATCCCACATATATATTAGCGTGCTTGAATCTTGAAAGCATGCTGGATATAAAGCACCAGTAATAACACTTCGAAAACATTAGAATGATGAAGTAATTAAGCCTAATCGGTCTTGCACTTAAGATACCAAAAAAGCGAAATCATGCTTTTCAATGCGGAATGATGAGTGGAAACACATAAATCTTATTCCATGCTATAGCGAAATCAAGATAATTAGTCAATTGGATAATACCTCAGTAGAGAAAAACGGCCAGATATCCTCGGAAAGGCACAAAAAGCTTCACACATTAAGAGTAATGCTTTTCCTATGATCTTGAGCAGATTATTTTGCTTCCTTAGAAAACAGTGGAACATTTTGAAAATACCAATAGTATTTCATAGCGCCTCTCTGAAGAAAATATGTATGAGTACAACATCCCTATCACCCATGTAAAGATCAGGACTTCTCGATGTACCCTGCTCTTCTCCAGATGGGCCAGCCGACTTACCTTCTTATTCCATAATTTTAAAAGAGGCATCAAACCCTCAAACTTCTCAAATAGCATCCCGTTAGATTCAGTTTCAACATCCCCTTCCCTGTTCCGCTCACCGTGAAATGAGGATAACCACTGAAATCAAATCACTTATCGGCATTCTTTTTACCGAATGTCCTTTCTAGTATTCATATAGAGTCAATCAGTCACGTAAGTCTTTTGTTAGGACTTTCTTGACTAATCTGGAATCTTTGTCCACTTTTTTGCCTTCTTCCTTTTTCTTTCAAGATATTATCTCATACTGATTCGAAGTATTATCACTTCATTGAACAGTGCAAAGTACTTTACGTCCTAGCTTTTCCGGAGAAAACGGAAAGTTCTTAACTTGACACTCGTAGTGTGATAAAGTAAAGAAACTACTCAAGTGTGAGTCTAGTTAATGAGTATCGCCACGTCACACTCTTTTATGTATGATCGTGACCATATGCGGGATAATCTTGTGAAAAGACTCCCATTCAATTTTTGCGTAAATTTCCGAATCCAAAAAAAGGTTCAAGTATCAAAGTTCCTTAAATAGTATTCCCCCATAATAATAATCCCACCCTCATCTTTTTCTAGACCACTTCTCTCAGGGTTCTACGTACGAAAAATAAGTATGGAAAGAGCCTAGAGTCATTTTGATATGGATCGTCTGAGCTAAATAAATGTTATGAGTTAAGAGATTACAAAGTTCAATGGATCTTCCCAGAGTATCAATATGATGTTGAGTTCATCGAGAAAACGAAGAAAATAAAATCAACTTGAAAAAATGGTTATTGAGATGAACTGAAAAGACATAAACATTAAAGGATCCAGAAAGAATTATCAATTGGCCACTTTTGCTCGAAGGATGTATTTTCCTGCTACGTTAGGAATAATTACGGTATTGTTATAGAGGAGTATCTCATATGGAACTACAGGTTAGAGATAGAAACAAAAAACCGAAAACTGGAAACAACAGTTGACTCAGAATGTAATTTGTATTCAGAAAAGGAAGTGAAATCCATTTTGGATCCCATAGAATACGCAGCGTATAGTAAATACATCCAAGGCCTACGCTTGATCATCAATTCAGACAGTTTAAGCAAAAAAAGCCGTTCACTATGAAAATCTATCATACACTCCTAACGTTATTAATGTTTTCGAAACATGTCATGGAATTATAGATGCAAGCCGGAAATACAGTAGAACCAGCGAACATTCACAGAAATCTCAAGAATCTCTCTCCCGAGAACTTATTATTTTTGTTTTCATTCTGAGCTTTTCATGTGAAAATTAGATGAAATCTCAAAAAAAGCATCTAGCAACTACATAAATCTGCGCTCCCACTGAGTTTTACCGCGATTGCTATGGTCGTCAATATTCACAACATGAATAAGTTATTTCTAGCAAGCTGAAGATAGAGACCAAACCTAAACTCATAAATGACTTTCGAAACAGAACGTGAATACATCATCAGCCTTTTTGAAGATTAACCCACCTCAAAACATAAGCAAACAATAATGAAACAGGCCGATCATCTAACGATGAAATATTTAAATGAAAAAAAGGGAGAGCGTTCAATAGCTTAACCAAACACGTTCAGTTCATAAGCTTATCCCTATCAGACAGATTTTCAAAAGTTAAACCAATAACAGTTCCAGATGGACAGCTCATTCTCGATTGCTGTATGCAGTTCGCTTCCTTCTCGAATCATTCGACAAACTTTCTCGAACAAGCTGGATTAGTGAACAAAAGAGGTACAAAGATCATCAATCAACTGATGATACCCCATATCCAACAAATCCCAAATCAAAAAGTGGAAGAGTGCGTGCGCATGAATATCATTCAAACTATCAACAGCTTGTTGCGTAATATATTGCTATTCAACATGAAAGATGTCGAGAGTTAGAAATACTGTGCTTTCTTATCTCAGCAAGTTTCTGTCCACAGATTTTAATGGATACGAGGGGAGAAAATAAAACATTTGAAGAAAAACAGAAGTAAATTCTTATGTGAATCTTCACAACATGATAAATCCATCAAGTAATTATTGAAACTGAACCATCAATCCATTAAAGCACTCGATTAATCCATAACTCAACTGTTAATGTTTATTGAAGGGAAAATGTTAAATAAAAATAGCAAATCTGATCGTGAAGAGATAAATGAAATAAGTATGTAAAAGCGAAAATGGAAACAAAACCTAATATTTAGAGGGCGATTAGATAGCAAAATAGTTTTCTCTTACATTCAGAACATACACAAACATAACCAGATATGAAATATTTTAGTGCCGTATATATAAAACGAGCAAAAATTCACAATGATAAGAGTGCACTTAAGTTCACTGAATACGACCGTAGAAGCTGTATGAGCATGATAAGTGGGCACAGAAATATTTCGCATGAGACACGGCGACTCAGGAAGCACATAAACAGAACATTGCGAAAGCCAGTCACAAAATATCTTTTTTTTTCTTACTTATTACAAAATGGTACATTTTTTCTTTTTTGGCTTGGCTGGTGGGCAAAGAACAGCTCGAATAGCTTCATCGAATACCTGAGAAGAGATTGTAACAATATATCAACACACAACTGGACTCACCTGTTTCAAACCCTTTTGTGTCAAAGCTGAACATTCGAAATATTTTACTGCCTTAATCTCTTTGGCCATCACTAGTCCCTGTGTAGGACTAATAGGAGCTAAACGACGCTCTCGCAGCCTGAGAATCGAAAATGCTGAACAGACAGAAGAAATCAAATACCTTTCAATTGTTTCCCTATCCTCTCTTAAATCCGCCTTGGTTCCAACAAGAATGATTGGAGTATTAGGACAATGATGCGAAACTTCAGGATACCTATGATTAACATGAAATTAACATGTAAAATTCATCAATTTACCATTTTGCTCTAACATTTTCAAAACTGGCAGGATTTACCAACGAGAAGCAAACAAGAAAAACATCAGTTTGAGGATACGATAAAGGCCTCAATCTGTAAGTAAAGAAAAATTGAATTCGAAAGAGGGAAATGAAGGGTCAGCTTTACCTATCGTAATCTTCTTGTCCAGCAGTATCCCAAAGACCAAGATTTATAGGCCTTCCGTCAACCATAACATTGGCTGAATAATTATCAAAAACCTGAAAACATACGTTTTAAATAGATCTGAACTGAAATGGACGAACTGTTGGAATGTATTCTCCAGGAAAGGCATTTGTTGTGTAAGAAATAAGCAAGCATGTTTTTCCTACAGCACCGTCTCCTACAACTACACATTTAATGGCCTGCATGGCTCTGGAAATAATATTTGAAACAGTAAATATGAGAAGGAAAAAAGTATTCGATCGAATCGACAATGTGTAGTATTGGAAGAAATACGTGACGAATAGTTTTTTTTTACGTTTTAGAAGCAAGAACATCAAGGAAAGAAGATAATTAATGCTATGATAAATCAGTCTCAGAAGGCAAGGAATAAATAAAACAAAGGTTCAATAATCATCACAAAATATGAACAAAGCAGATCGGCACATCGGTATCACATTTTAAGGAATTTATATATTTATAGTGGGAGACCCGCTACCCTTCGGCATTTTTGCATTGTCGCTCTGTGCTCAAACTGCTTACGCGAAACTGAGCGAACATGACGTAAGTAATCTTGTAGAGATAAGACACCTTTAATCTTTGCTTGACCTGAAGTAATCATCTCATTAATAACGAACTAGCTAATGACTAACCCAAAGCATATATAGTGTCATCACAGGCTAAATCAGAGGCATAATTATCTAATAATTGTTTATGAAGCGGAGTTGTTGCATCTATTGCACTATCAATGCTTGAGTCAGATTCCCCATTCTCCCGAAGAGCTTTCGTTAATTCTCCCTTTTTTGCCTAGATTACTTTTATAAATTTCATCAATGATTTCAAGTTACCTCGTAAGCTTTCGTGAAGGTATCAATTTCTCGATTAGCATTTTCTAACTCTTCAATCATTTGTTTCAATTTTTGCTGTCCCGTTTGAAGCTCTTTTTTGGTTTGATTTATAGAAGCCATTTCAGCGTAATTAATACCTACAATATGGGACATATGAAAATAGAAATATGAATAAAATTAAAACCTAAGTCGTCTTGTATTTTCTGCTTGAACTTATCTTCCAAAGCGCTCAACAACGAAGCACGAATATGTTCAGGTTGAATAGTCCCTGTAGGTATTGGAGGGGAGGGTCGGACTGGACGAGGCATGCCATAAGAATTATTCGGTTGTGGTGTGTTCACATAAGCATGACTGAATAAAAATAATATTCAAACATTCAGCTGAGGAACAAAAACTCACTTTGCTTGAGCCTGTCCTAACGGATATGGTGCAGGATTTGAGAACGCTGATGTCGCGGGGTATGGAGTCGGCATCCCTCCTGTTGGATAAGACGTTGGATAAGGTGTAGGGTTTGTGATAGCAGAAGGAACGGGTGTCGATGTTGTCGTAGGTGTGGGAGTAGATGTTATAGAGGCTTTCGACTGAGTAGCACTTCTAGCAAAAACTGGACATTTTTCTTGGAAAATCATTGTCATAATCTTAACAGGAGGTTTGAGAAAAGGGGAAATGTAACAGTACCTGCAATAAAGTGACAAGATCATACCCTGGATACCTCCACTCGTTCAAATAAGGTAAGAAAATGCGACCTTCTTTGTTAACACTTTCAGATTCTTTAACAATCATGGTACTTGTAGGTCTCACAAAGCAAACAGGAGCATAGTATGGATGAGTATCCCATAGATATACAGCAATAGGAATATTGTAACATGCACCCTAGATGGAACAACATAGAAGCAAGTTGCTATACAATAGACAAACCTTATACAATACTGGAATAGTGCCTTTCAGAAGAAACGCTAAGCGTCGTTTCCCATCGGGAAATAAGTAATTTTCCGTGTCAGGAACAATATCTTTAAATTGTTGGATGACAGAAAGAATATCAGGTTTAGAAGATTCAATATACTTAGCTTTCGTGCTAATCAAAAACTGTTGCACCTAAGAAACAAAAGAAACATAAATAAATTGTTGCAACAAACCTGATAACTGGTCATACCCTTCCGTTTCAATCAATATATATGTTCCACTGAATATCTAAAACGGAAAAATGGATCGACTACTGATTTTAAAATTATTCGGGAATAAACAAATGCAATAAACGAGAAATAAATATTTTTGCAATTGAAAGACAAAGCAATGTGGACTTTCGTGAATGAGTCATAGGCGTTGTGCTCAGTCTCTGTCGCTTAAAGAAGTTTGTGTAGGAGTGCGTATCGATTGAAGCAAAATTGTGTTACTCAAAAATAAAAACAAAAATTAAATAAATAAAATTAAGATTAAGAATAGAATATTCAAAGGAATGAATATAAGAGCAGCTGGTGCACATCGATCGCGCATCACGCGCGTCAGTGCGGAATAGTTTCCTTTCCATCGGATGCTTGACGCATTTAACAGCAGTAATAGTTACAACTGATGTTACACTATTTATGAGTTGCTTTCGTAGTAGAACTCATCAAATTGATGAGAAATTGATGTTCTTTTCTTTGGTTAGTGTCGTTATGACGTATTTCATATTGATAGAAATCGTTTTTGGCGTCTTATGCAAGCCATTGCAGCAGGGTCAAAAGGAGGACAGAGCAGTATAAACTCCTAGAACCAGAGCATCTCTGTGCAGTAGAGATGTTCCCGTTCTTGGCACCGATAGGAAGAGCACAGTCAAGGTATGGTTAAACCACTAATATTTTTATTCTTAATAGTTTTTGGAGAAAAATATTATATTCATAAACGCCACACAAATATAAATAACAGAGTCAACGTTCTGATTTTAATTTTAATTCTTTTTTTCTGTATTGTAAAATGAAAAGATGAATATAAAAGAGATGTTTGCACAGCCGAAGTTGACCGCAGACAGTTTTGCACTGTTTTTAATCATAATAGAAAATCGATCTTCAAGATTAGGCATCTTTGTCCTATGTTACTCAAGGTTAATATGATCCACAGGTCATATTCAACACTTCGGCAATAGATTTCTCAAGCACTCAGTGTTTTCAATATACATATTATACATATGAACGTTGTATATCTTATTTTTAAAGATTCCGATTTGCTGTTACGCCTGAACATGTTGTTGAAATTGAAGTTTTCACAACCTCTCCAAATGCAACTATCAAACAGCGGTCTCATTCCGGAAATAGTGATGGTTGGTCTATTGAGTTGTTTTTACTTTTTAAACAGTCTTTCCATTCAGTACGGACACAATCGGGATCATCATTAGGGTCGAGACCACAAAGTAGGCATAAATCTAAGTCGCCTCTGCCTTCTACATCCCCTAGAGTAAGTCATTTTGATTTACTTGATCTCATCATTACCAAAAAGTGTTACTTCATTTCATTTTTTAGCCTAATTCTGGCTCTTCTGGCTCTGCTAAATCATCTCCTATTCCTCCTACTCCTGCTGAGGTTCCTCCACCTATATCTCGTCATAGAAATAAAGGTTTAGAAACGTCTTCTGCTATGCTTGTAAGTTTTGTACAAAGACCTTAAACTGTACCTACCGTTTCAGGAAATGTTCGGAGGTGGGGGCTCCGCTTTTGGTGCTGGGTCAGCGTTTGAAGTTATTCCACCTATGAAGGAAACCCGGAACTTCGGACGGAAAAACGTATTAGAACGAGAGCTGGCGGAAACTAGTAGTCCTTGGGAAAATCAAAACAGAAAGCCAAACAGTACTGGACCTGTTTTTTATGAAGTGGAAGACCATGAAAAAGTGATAGTTATACATTCATTTTTTCAAATGTGTACTACCTTTTAGGCATATGAGCGAGCTCAGAAGAAATCCAGAGGTAATCAGTTCGATCAGTCTGCCCAACCAGGACCAGAATGGTTTACAGGCTTCGATAAAATGGAATTGAATGGTTTTTTCTTCTAATCTTATGTAAAACATTCACTTCATTTCTAGATGTGCCTGTGTCTCATGCGGTTGTTCCTGAGATCAGCAGTAACATGAACATGGATATCACCAACATTACCAGCCCTGAATCACCCGGAGATTGGAAAGAAGCGAAAGAAAACGTTTTTCAAGTTTCAGTTACTAAAGTTGCTCCTGGGGAACCAGGGCCTGATCTTGGTGATGATGATGATTATGAGGTAATTTCGCAATTGTTTTATGTTTCTCTTCTTCCTTTCTCGATTTTGTATATATATTTATATTTATGCAAATGTTTGTTCTTCCGACATTGATTGACTTTAGCATGCATTTAAAATTACAGAATGTCCAAGCAGATGAGTCGTGCACCCAAATTGCGCAAAATCGACGCCGTTTGCTTGATGAGGGGGCAGATGCAGAGAACGCTCAGAGTAGGGCGTTGGACGCAGAGGACGTGTCGGCTGTCGAAGTGGCGGACGCTGGTTGTGGTGACTCGGGAGCTACAATGTCTTTGCTGATTAAAGGAGCTCAAGTTGTTAACGATGATTCTGTTTTCGCTGCCGATGTTCTCATCCAAGATGGTGTAATCACGTAAGTTATTTTTTTCTATTTGTATTCAGAGTTTATCGATTTTTTTGTCTCTTTCAACTCATCAAACTGCGTTTTCGAGGTTGCTCAGAATCATGGCGTCCTTATAAGCGCATTATTTTTTTTATCAGAATTATCATAGTTTTGCAACCAACTTTAACTTGAATGTTCAAAAAAAAGAATAGTCACTTCAAACTCGATCAATATGGAGTTGTGAAATATAATATCGATGTTGGGAACGTAGTTTGTTAGTTCAGCTAACATTTCCTGTTTGAATCAAACTCAAAAAAGACCTCAATATAGCTATACTAAGAACTGAGACTAATCAATATGCTATAACATTCAAAATTTATTAGTCTATACTCGCTTAATTATAGTAAGGTAGCCGTAGATATCGAAGTAGGTGCGGATGCTCAGGTTATTGATGCAAACGGTCGAATGCTCCTACCTGCTGGAATCGATGTACATACCCACTTAACAGCACCAGAATCTGCCGACGATTTGGCCACGGGATGTAAGGCTGCGCTTGCCGGAGGCACTGGTACTGTTATTGATATGGTTTATCCTAAGAATGGTGAATCTCTCACTGCTGCCTATGGGCGTATTCGCCAAACTTTGGATAAATCCCTATGCAACATTGCCTTATCCGTAAGTTTTTCAAAAACAAAATTGCAAACATATTTTTTTGACAGGTTGTGATCAAAACATGGTCTGAAGGTGTTAAGAAAGATATGGAGAAAATCGTTGCTGATGGAGTGAACAGCTTTATTATTGATATTGCTGAAGATGATCAGATGTATCATGTTCTCGAGTTTTGCCGAAGCCTTGGAGCACACGCGCGTATTCTCCCAGAAAACAAAACAATAGTTCCATTCTTGGAGAAAAAAATGCTTGGATTAGGCATAACTGGGCCGGAGGGTTATCTACAATCCAGACCCGAAGATGTGAGTTTCAACACAACGATGATACATGTTGAATTACATATTATTTATAGCTCGAAAGTGAAAGAGTCAACAGTATTTGCGTGCTCAGTCAGATCACTAATTGCCCGATCTCCATTTTGTCGGTGAGTCATGCTTCCCAACCATCAACATCAAATTTGATGATTGCTCTAGTCTTGAAATAGTCATCGCTCTTTTCCTTTATAAAATAGGGGAATTTGCACATGCACAAACATGTTTGAAATAGTAGTCGATAGGATATTGCGAAACGCCACTGTCTGCATTCATGAGACTAGAAGCTAAAACCCGTGGTTTTTCTTGATTTTTCTTTATTGATTGCTTTTATGCTGCGGTTACTTGACTATGTATGAAGAGTATGACACGTTTTCGAATCTTCCTTTGAAAGCATGACTGCGTATCGAAGTGAAAATAATTGTTTTCAGCTGTCTTCTGTCGATTCGTTGTCATCATTGGAGAGATCTAAATGCAATGGAAGTCTTTCGCATGCTGAAATTGCTACAGCCGCAGTTGCAACCGATGGGACTCATTACTTCAACAAATGCTTGAAACATGCTACTGGTCATCTCACGGATGTACCTTTGAGAACTGATGGTAGCAGTCGTTTAGTTGCAGCTTTGGCGAGGTGAAATTTGACTGTTGGGCGTATTTTTATGTTCTAATTTTCAGCCAGCCATTAGTTGTTTGTACCTCCGGACATCGTGCTATCAATTCAACCACACGTTTATCGGGAAAAGATTTCACAGTTATGCCCAAAGGCGTAGTAGGAGTTGAGGAACGTCTTGCTGTTATTTGGGAAAAGGCTGTGCGTACTGGCAGAATTGACCCTATGCGATTTGTAGCTATTACGTCCACCAATGCAGCGAAGACGTTCAATTTATATCCTAAAAAAGTAGGATGGTTTGATATAATCTATAATTATACCGTTACTAATTATAGGGGCGGATCGCAGTAGGTGCAGATGCTGATTTGGTTATTTGGGATACCACTTGCAAGCGTAAATTGGGAGCAGGAGAAGGTCAATCCTCCGTTGATATCAACATCTATGAAGGAATGACAGTTCATGCTCAAGTCAGTGTCAATTAATTTATTCCCCAGCTAGCTAAAACCCCTTTTTCTTGAATAGTGGGTTGCTTAGGTTTTTATGAGTGTTGATCTTGTATGCGCACTCTGAAGCCTCAACTTATAGTGAAGGAAAATTTAGAATCGCCAGATTTGTATATTATAATATCTAGGCTGCGATCACTATTGTTGGTGGGCACGTTGCTTGGAAGGACGGTAATGTTAAGGATGCTCGTGGCAGTTTTGTTTCGCTAACTCCCAATAGTCCTTATTTATTCAGCGTTGTTCAACAACGAGATAAGGTGTGTTAATCATTTGATCTGGAGTTAGTTACATTTTGTAGATGGGTGTTTATGAAAAAGTGGACAGAGAGCCAGTTGCTAATGGCCATAAAAAATCAAACACGGACGCACCAGGATCTCGTGGCCAGCCGAGGAAAAGCCACTTTGAATCCAATATTGAATTCGGTTAGAACATTTCTGACTTATACCTCGCAATTATGAATTCAGGTTCATCTGATAACCGTCCTACCAGCACGAGAGTTCGTAATCCACCGGGAGGACGAACAACTGGCTTCTGGTAAATGACTTCTGACCCAAGCGTCTGTTCCCGACGTTTCTTTATCTCTGATTCCCTTCGATTGATCCATTGTTGTAATATACCGCGTGGTCAATGCCAGTTGCTCTTTCCATTCCAGCTTAGCTTCCTGTTGAAACTCTATCAGTCATTAAATGACTCCTTGTTTATGCAATTCACTCCTAACTTATTCTTTAAATAACGTTTCCCTATCTAATTTCTCAAAAGAGCTTCTTTGATGTTAGTCATTTTTGTACTTTGAATCTCATGTTGTTAGTCCAATTGGGGGTTTCCGTTTTAGCTAATTTATACTTTTTAATAATAAAGCCTGATCACACTATATTCAACATCGAAAGAAATGGAACGTTCACACATAATTATATCCCTTCATCTCAGGAAACAACAGAATGTCATGATCTTTCAAATAAAAACATGACGCGCACACGCTTCGCCAGCAATATGGTAAGCTTGCTCTTATATGCGCAGCTGGTTTGGTCAAGCGGTTACAGTTCTAAATTCGTCCTTTTGTTCTTTCTAGTGGAATGACAAAAAGTTAAGCACTCGTCATTGATTGATTTCGGCTCTTCTACAGATTTTTGCCTAATGAATAGTTTTTAAAATATTTTCGGTTAAAGGATGACACATCGAACTTACCGCCCACAACTATTTGATCTCAGTTCATTCTGTTCTTGTTCATTTTCGAATTTCGCCTGGGTTTGCCAATCTCAAGTAGAAATCCACCTTTCAGAACATGGCCTTGTTGATCAAAAATGGAACAGTTGTTAATGAAGATTGTATGGTAAAAGCTGATGTTCTAGTGAAAGATGGAGTTATTATGTGAGTTTTAAAATTAGTCATTATCTAGAGTAGCTTATTTAAATGCGTTTAATTGAAAAAATGCTTTAATTGTCCCATTAACAATTTTGACTTAAATGTAATGGCAGTGAGGGGACCAATGACAAGATCCGAGATTGTTTTGTCTTTTCGATTCCGCTGAAGATGAACAGAGATCTATTTTCTAAACCAAGTATAGAGTTTGAAAGACCCTAGTAGGATGAGACAGATGGCAATGGCTAATCCATATCTTTTACAAAACATAACGACTTGTGTCACAAATGTCCTCATATCCAAATGCTAGACCGCAAACCATAAGGGGAAGACATCACGATAGCGTTGAGAGCAATAGATATAAATTTAGGGAGCGAACAATTAGGCGCTTCAAATTACATGCAAATAATGAGCTAGAACGCTATAAGATTTCCCAGCAAGGCAGTCTTTCAGATTTCTTCTTTTATTGAGAGAGAGCAATAGTACATTAGCAGGGGAAGAAACGTTTATTCTAATGTTTCGCTAAGTAATTACTTAATAAGGCGAGTTCGAAGATCAGAAACGTGCGCTTGTTTGAAATCTCATCTGTTGCATTCTGAGTGTAAAATGAAAAAATCTCTCAATTTTAGCTTGCTAATCGTGTTAATTCTTGTCTTTTAAACAATCCGTCCCTGCACATTATTTTTCTTTCGCAGTCATTCAAAAGTTTTCGGCGCCTGAACAAAAATATTCCCAGATTTTATTTACAACTTTACAAAAAGAGAGGAGATATCTTCATTGTAACTGTTTTACAAAGATCATTAGCACAAAAAAAATGAGAGAAAGTACATGTTTATAGCGATGTGTCACCCGAGATCTCTGCAACTGAGGATGTTGAGAGAGTCATCGATGCTACTGGAAAGTTTGTTATGCCAGGAGGAATTGATCCTCACACACATATGCAGCTTCCATTTATGGGAGAGGTTGCTGTAGATGATTTTTATACGGGCACCGCAGCTGCTGTTGCAGGAGGAACTACAATGGTAAACGATGGATAGTTAACAGAGAAAAAAACTTACTCAGATAATTGATTTCGTCATTCCTTCAAAAGGAGAATCTTTGTTGGCAGCGTATAAGCAATGGAGAGACTGGGCTGATGAGAAGGTTTCTTATTGTTTCAAGTTCTTCAATTAAACTGTGATAGGTCGTCTGCGATTATGCTTTATCAATGGCTATAACCTCATGGAGCCCTGAAATAGCTAGAGAAATGGAGATTGTAACAGGACCAGAATATGGCATGCGCTATTGTATATTCAAGACTAATCATGTCTTTCTAGGAATCAATTCCTTCAAGTTCTTCTTGGCTTATTCTGGTGTGTTCATGGTTCGTGACGATGAATTTTACCAAGGTAATAAGAAAACCAAAATGAATAATTTATTTTCGTTTCAGGAATGCTGCAATGTGCAAAAATTGGAGGCCTTGCACGAGTACATGCTGAAAATGGTTCAGTAATCGCTGAAAAGGCAAAAGATTTACTGCAAAAGGGAATAACTGGACCAGAAGGACATACTTTGAGCCGTCCTGAAGAAGTATCATATTGTTAAATTGCGTAACAATCAGCAAAATCTATTCAGCTAGAAGCAGAAGCTACAAACCGAGCGTGCGTATTAGCTTCTCAAGCTAACTGTCCATTATATGTAGTCCATGTGATGAGCAAAGGAGCAGCAAAAGCTATCGCTCATCATCGTCAGAATGGTATTTTTCCTATTAGTTACTTATAGTGAGCTTTTTCTTCAGGAGCTGTTATATTTGGAGAGCCAATTGCTGCAGGCCTCGCAACCGATGGCTCACATTATTATAACAGGGTAGGTGAAGAATTTTGAACAAGTTATAAATTTTTTTCAGGATTGGCTTCATGCTGCTCGTTACGTCATGTCACCTCCCTTAAGTCGAGATCCATCAACACCAAACGCCTTGATGGATTTGTTGGCTGCGTTAGTCAGATAACAATTTATGAAAACATAATATATGCTTACAGTGGTGAGCTCCATTTGACAGCTACCGACAATTGTACTTTCAATTGTCAACAAAAATTAGCAGGAAAAGATGACTTCACAAAGATTCCCAACGGTGTGAATGGTGTGGAAGATCGCATGGCTGTAGTGTGGGATCGTGGTGTTTATTCAGGAAAAATTGATCCAATGCGTTTTGTTCAAATTACTAGGTAAACTGCTCTGTATGGCTGATATAAAAAGTTGTTTGTTTCAGTTCCACAGCCGCTAAAATCTTTAATATGTATCCCAAGAAAGGTAGAATTAGTGCTGGATCAGATGCAGATATTGTTGTGTGGAATCCTGATAGAGTGAAAACTATTTCAAAACATACTCATCATCAAGCTGTTGATTACAACATTTTTGAAGGAATGGATGTCCATGGAGTTGCCGATATCACAATTTCAAGAGGAAAGGTAAACGTTCAGCAATCGATCTGCCGTTAACATTGTAGTTTATAGATTGTATGGGAAAATGACAAGTTGTCTGTAGTTCGAGGCGCAGGTCGTTATGTACCTGTATCACCTTTTTCGCCATACGTATTCGCAAGAATTCCACAAAGAGCAAAGGTTTTTTTTTAATTTTGAAACAAAAAAGACTGATTCAATCGAAGTTGAAATATTTGATTCGCGCGTAATTAGAGTTTTCTAGAGAAAGAATAGTATTCGTAGAAAATACGAATTCCTCGTGTAGTTGTTCGAATGCAACCGTTCAGTACACTTTGAACTTTTAAAATGAAGCGTATGATGAGTCTGCGCTATTATGCTAATCAAGCCCGCAGAGTCAGAGTTTAGCCAATAGGAATGCTTCCAATATTCCCCAGCGATGGTTTTATTATCAATTGAAAGCACAAACGATTATTTTTTTAAAGATGCTTGCTCCACGTGGAGTCGATCGTTCTTCTACTTCTGAGAATAATGGCAGTGCACAAAATGGGATTAAATCTAATACGGTAATGACAAAACCTGCAACTAATGGAAAATCAAGAGTTCCTCCTGGTGGAAATAGTTCCATATTTTTCTAGTATACTGTTTTTTTGAAAAATGATTTTACATCGAAGTGTGTCGCGGTCTTATCACCGCTATCATGGAAACTTAATAATTGAAGATTTATTAAAAGAAACTGTTCACATATTCAAATGTCCAAGAAGTTTGAACTGATTGTCTTGTTGAGATTTTTTTTGTAGTTTTTCGAGTTAATAAAAATCAACGTCTATCGAAGTCTTCTGTTTCAATCTTATGATGCTTCAGAATGGCTTTCAACATTCTCTCAAGCTTCAACTCTTTTTCCCAAATATAGTCAATGTTTTCTTGGAGGTTCTTTATTTGAGATCCTTGATATCTCAAATCATCCCTGAACTCCGCAATTACTGCCTGTAAGACGGATAAGCTATATACCATATGATTGGAAAAGGATTACTTCTTCTTCAGTATTTTCCACATCACTATCTTCACCTCTTCCAGACATGAAGTCAAATTTGCTTATTATTTTTTTGATCCAACCCTGTTGGTTCTTAAAGATGCGATACTTTCCAACGGCCCTTTTACGGCGTAGCCACGGCATTGTGATTTCTACTTGTAACACCAAGTCAACCTGAAAACACTATTTCAGATCAATCAAAAACGATTAACAGACCATTAGGACTTTTCTTCTAAGTTCCGCCTTTTCCTGAACAGCTTTAATGTCATCAACAGCAAGACCAACCTGTTAATAACAATTTAGAATATATTGAATTTAAATTTCGAGAGAGCACCAGTAAGTTCATCAGAAGAATAGTCATAACAATACAAAAGCCCAGAAACAACGGATAAGCTAACTGCGGACCAAAAAGTCGCTCCATATGAACTTCTTTATCTCCATAGAAAAGAGCTGTGAATTCGAATTCTCCAATCATCATGACTGTGGTTTTTATGATAGCATCCCAGGGCGTAGCGAATTCAGGCTAGAAATCAGAAGAAGGTGACAACTAAATCGACTCTCCTACTCTATTCTGCATTATTACGAAGAAAGATGTACTGAAAGAAACGACAAAGAGTACGAAGATGAAGAAGAACGTTGAGAAAGTACTGAGGATGTCGAAGAACATAACAACGTAAATGCCAAATCTAAACAAAATGTAGAGAAAAAGTATACTACTGAGAGTTACTTAGGGGTTTTTCTAATTAACATCAAAACGTTCATCCATCCCAGAAATGAACAAACTGCAGCCAAATTCCATTGCCAAGACTGCAATTTTCTATTAATGATCATAAGGAATTGTAGAACAATATTCTTATGGACAAAAAACATTAGCAGCGAGTGGTTTCGATCCACCGACCTCTGGGTTATGGGCCCAGCACGCTTCCACTGCGCCACGCTGCTGATGACATTTGCAAAAATATAGTATTAAGATTCGTGAAACTTAATACAATGACCATAACGAAAAGAACATACCAAAGGTATTCCAGCTGTAGCTGCACATTCCGTGAAATCCAATATTGATATGATGGACGACGAATAAATAAAACATTCAACAAAGTTTTCAAATGAAAAATATGCTAAGCATCTAGAGTACAATTGATATGCCTAAGAAACAACCGTTTTAATTCATCAATTTTATAATATCACCTCTTTAAGTAGTTCACAGGATGAGATTATGATGATTATGATTTTAAGCGCTGCAACCCATTGTGGTCGTTCGACACCCTCAAAACGTCACAAATGATTTGAAACTAGCATAAACATTACTAGATCGGAACAAGTTCCATTAAAAGCTTCCAATTGAAGACTGATATCGACATAGCCGTTCTCTCTTTTATCAAAAACGTTATAAGGAGCTGGAGTGTGGGTGACATAAATTGTGTAGAGCATAATGAAAACCATGTAGAAGAACAATGCTGCGAAACAAGATTACTCTTTATGTTCGAATGGCTTACCAGTGTAATATACTTGACGTCCCACACTATTCCATTTATACTTTATAAGTTCATCAACTAACTCATGAGAAAGCAAAGTAATTTTTTCGGAATTCGCAATCAATTTTAAAGGATGGTTCATGTAAATAACTTCGTGCTTCTTGCTGTACAGTTGAGCCTCTGTTCGCAGACTAGTCCCATCTTGTTCATAAGGATCAATAGAACCCAGTAATCGAATATTTTTAGTTTTAACTTCCAAATCTTTTTGGGATATATCATCGTGAGTCTCGAAATCTCTCTCATCATTAATTAGATAGCCAGAGTCAGGCATCATGAATGTGTCATCCAGATAGGTGAAGTCATACTCAACTGTAAAGTTATAGTCCTGTGGCTCGCCATTTCGTGTTATCAATTTGTCAAGTATAGCTGGAACTAGCTCGGGAAACGTCGACATCAATTGTCTCATAGGTGTTTTACGTATTTTCGGAGCTTTAACATTATTCAGTTCGATAACATCCCGTGGATGTATCAAATCTTTCCAATACTCTGATGTGATCAACGTTCGCACAACATCTCTGAATTAGCAATATGCGGATGACTAGGACCATAAAGACGACGATAGTTAAAGGAAATAAAACTATCTCATAGGATAACCAAACTACGCTAAAACATACCTGTGTTTATTCTCTAGCGCCAAGTCGAGAGCAGTCTGTTTTTTGTCATTTCTTTTACAAACATCACAATTCCTATCATTAATTAAGAAACGAACTATTTCATCGTTACCGTTGCGAGCTGCTTCTAGCAAAGGACTATTTCTACAATTAGTTGTTTTACATATATTTCCTTCAGAATTTTAAATTATTAACAAACCCGTCTTCTCCACTTCGATCAACATCTGCTCCTCTTCTTGCCAATTCTCGTAATGTATCTAATTGATTATACATAACAGCTAATTGTAGAGGACTTTTATCATCAGCATTTCGAGAGTCTATTTCGGCTCCAGCATCCAATAAAACAACAACAGCGTCGTCAAAACCTTCAATATAAAATACTGTCATGTTCATCTTCGAGGTTGCTCATTTGCCCATATCTTCTTTTTCATATTCAAATATAAAAACCTTAACGCATCTAACTTAACAAAAAATATTATGGGTGACGACTGATACCAATAATAAACTTGCGCCGTACATCAATCAGGATGATGTTATGTATGGAAACGTCTTGTCAAGTATATTTAAACTATAGAACTACAGAAGAAAACTCAATAACCTCGTCCACGCTTGGCATTCACCGCGTGCCTTAGTTGTCTACTGCACACTAAAGTCACCGGTGAAAGCGAAGCGGAGTAGGTTGAGACATCAGTAAATTAAAATAACATTAAAATCGATAGTTCATATTCGAGTTTAGTATTGGAAGAGGCAAGAATGGGCTATCGTACGTGATCTTAAAGTATTCAAAAAAATATAAGGTAGCCTTTGCATGTGTGTTTTGGCTAAAAGAAAGAAATGACCGGGACGTGAGGGAGGACAGATGGCCGTGGTGACTGCAGCTGTCCTCTTGCCGTCTACTTTCGGGGCCACCATCTTTTCTCCATTTTGGGGAGCACGCGTCTCTCTATCTTTCTCTCTCCCTCTCTCTCTCTCTCTCTCTCTCTTTATTCCTCTCTATGTATCTCGAACTCTCTTCATATACATAAATTGAAAACACACATACACACACATACACACACATACACACACACACACACACACACACATACACACACACACACACACATACACACATCTTTCCCTTTTCTCCGTTTGTCGTCATCATGGGGTCAATTGCAGCGTATGCCTTCCATGGAATTGCCACATGCATACTTATCCGTATTCAGAAAGAAAAGAGGATCAGACAGGCACAAATCATTTAATTCATATCTATCATACATCTATCCGCATATAAGGTATGCACATGAATAACAACAGCTGGGCAGGTGCATCTTATTCTATCCTCATTTTCTCCGATTCGGATTAGCTACTATCCTTCTCTCTAAATTGCTCTGAACATCGGCGATTTCTATAATGACCTTGTGCTTGGCATGAAAGATGCATTTGGATAAGGGCAATTTTACCTAATCCTCATGCAGTTGCTCGACAGCACAGTTAAATCTCCAGAAATTAGAGAATACTGCTTTGAAGATACCATATAAGCTAAGCTAGTGAAGAAAAAAGCAGCAAATCATCGATTTTTGACTTCCTTCTTAATTAGTTGGGATGATTCATAAACTCCACACTTCTGTACTCTGTTGTAGAGGGAGACTAGAAGAAAGTTGAATATGTCATTGCAGCCTTTGAGATGCTCAGCCCTGAATAGCCAGCGGGTTGGCTCCCTCAGTCACTCATTCATCCTCTTTTTCTCTCTTCGTCTCTACTATATAGTTACCATCTCTGAGTTACTAGCTTCTCTCTTTTCATTTTCGTTCCAACTTTTTCTCTCTCATTTACTCTATGAAGTCTGTCTCTTGTTCTTTTCTATTACGCTTCTCGCCTTCTTCATTCTTTGGCTCTCCAATCTCTCTTACTTTTTTTCTCTTTCCATGCTAAATCGAGAGTGCCAACGGCAGTCCCACCGCGATCAATATAGCACAATGACATAAAAGAAGCTACGATTACAAGATGGTTTTGAACATTAAGCACGATAGAAATTCTGTTCAAATAAGAACTCGATTAAATTTAATAATTGTAATAGAAACATCGTATTTCAGAAGATTTCAAAAAAATATCTTATAATGTTGGATGGCTATGAATGAAAAAAAGGAAAATTCTTCAGAAATAAAACGTAGTGAAATAGTAAATTTGTAGCATACAATTAGGTAACGTAACTACAGGTAAATAGAATAAGGAATAAGTAGAAATGGGGGAGATTCTGAATATGAATACTGGAAAATAAACTTCCATAAGAAAATATAATATCTCACAAATTAAATGAGGAGCAAAAGCAGCAACAGCAACACCTAAAGACGACGACAACACCCGTTCGTCAAGCTGCTGAAGCTGAATGGCAGAGAGACGATGGGCGGAGCACTCATGAGATTCGCCGACGCCTATATTGGGCAAAGGAGGAGCTATTCAGAGATTATATAAAACGAGGAGTAACAATAAGAAAGCGATGAAATAAGAGAATGAGGGATATGTTGGAGAGAATAGACAGAGATTAGAATGAAAACAAACTTAGAATAGACAAATGTAAAAATTTTTTTCAATTTTTGAACGCACATTAATTGATCTCGCCTCATCAGTGAGCAACCGCATCACATGTTTGCATAAGAAAAATAAAATCAAAAGTGAGTGACGAGTCATATGAAACTTACAAAAGCAATTTGCATAAATTTCTGAATTGCTCAACAACGTGAGCTTTCGAAAATCGAGAAAATTTTAATGAAAAGGCCTTGGTGAACATCCATGAAGGAGAAATACAAGAAATATCTTGATTAACGTGAGAAATGTTGAAAAAAAACTGAAAAAGCGAGGATAATTTCATACTTGTTAAGTCACATGTATTGAGAGTAGACAACTTCTTCAAAGAAATAGATAACACCTTCCAATAAATGGCCAAAAATTGGAAATGCCTCATAACGAGCTGCACAAAAGCCCATTCGATTCAATACTCTGATATAGTACACAAAGAAAAGGAACTGCAATGCTTGTTTGGCATAGACAAGAAAATAGAAGAAATGAAAATCAAAAGTTCTTTTAATTCATTTTTGAAACAAGGAGAAAACCAATCAAAATTTGTTTGGAAATGACGAGATTTTCTTTGCAACTAACAATCTTTCGTCTTTGAGAGGGGTTTAATCTACAAATATTTCGAACAAAACCTTTTTGGTTTCTTCGAAAGCCCAGCTATTCGCAATTGATCCACTGCTGATGGAATAGAACTGTTTAGTATTTTTGTTCTTATGGAATACAAGTATAAGGCGCGAATAATTGAAAATTTCATATGACAGCTAATGCGATAAGTGATAGGTCCCATTTATGGCTGAGAGCTGTTTCTCAGTCCCCTCTCGCAATCTCATTGACTTCAATTCCCTTTTATCCTTCTTCCTTTTATTTTTCTTTTTTCATTCATTTGCCTCTAGTCAGCTTTCTACTTTGCATCATTCTTTTCACTATCTGTCCATTCTCATTACTTTCTCTCAATTCCTAAGCTCATTCAGCTATGGAAGTAGTACGGGATCTAGCTGACCACAATGATATTTTCTACTTTACACTGGCTCTCACACGAATAAAAAAAATACAAAAACATGGAAACTTTGAAAACTTCTTCTTTCTCCATTGGCCTTATGTATCTTCTCATATTGCCCAACTCTCCAACATCCTTCAAACCCGAATTCTCTTAAACAATTCAAGAGAGAGAGAGAGAGAGAGAATGTAGCCAATTAGTTCAAAACCCAGACTGGATAACTTTCGACTTCATTCCTCCAACCAAAAATGCGATTAAAAAAACCCCAGAAAGTTCTAAGTACACATTCGGTAATTGAACCACTTACAACTTTCTTCATATCCCCTATAGAAATTTGAATACTCCTTCTCTCTCTGACAATCTCTTATTTGGCTATTTTAGGGCCTGCATGAGTCCTCATGAGCTTATTTTAACAAATGGAAACGAGCTCTTGTGGTTTTACTTTACAATGACACGACTGAAAATATTCAAGACGTAGTCATGCATGATTTGACTAATTAACACCATATCTTCTCAGTTTACTAAATATTAGAAACACTTAGTAATCTCATGTTGTCAAATGAAAAATGACTCTGGCTGAATCGAATTCCATTAACAACTTCACTTCGTACCTAGTGTTCTCACAGCCCATATACACCGATCATGGTTTCTACAGTTATTGACTAGAATCCACTTCTCGAACTTTTAATGAAAGTGTTTGTGATATTTTAGTAACTGTTCGTTGTTTTGGTCAAACCGCACCATAAAGAAAAGCACACACCTTCTTGAGCAGCACAATGTAAGGGAGTATATCCTTTCTCGTCTTTAGCAGTGACCAAACGTCTATCCCATTCCACCAGTTGTCTTACTATAGAAGTATTCAATTAGTGAAACTGAAAGATTATGTGACTTATTAACTTACAAACATCTACTCGTCCTCTGAGAGCGGCTCGATGAATTGGCGTTTCTTCATCTTCATTCAAAATATCAATAAAAGCCCCATGATCAAATAAAAGCTTCAAACAGTCAATCAGTAGCAAACAAGATAACTTCATCAATATACCTGGCAAACTTCTAAATATCCGTTACCACAAACAACATGCATAGGAGCATCTTGATTATGATCTTGATGATTTACCATATCATCCAAACTACGAGAAGCTGCAGGTAGGCGTAGAGATGTGGGGTGAATTCTTCTGGGGCTTGACGCTTTTTTTATCAGGTTTAAAATATGCTGAGCAAAACATAATAGAAGTGGTGTGATATATAAAAACCTCAAGACATCGACGAGAGTTGAACTTAGCAGCAATGAATATGACAGTTCTCTCATCATTATCAGTTACCTCTAAGTTTGCATGTTGCTCAATTAATTCCTAAAAGAAACTATCTTACATTAGTAAGACTAGATGAAAAACCTTAGCAACATTGATGGCATCGTGGAAACTTACTGCAAGCAACAGTGGGGTGAACCCTCGCTCATCGCGAGCTTCCATCATATCTTTCTGAACAAAACATATCAATGTACTCACTTCTAACTCACATTCTTAGTTAATAAATATTCGACTATGCCGACATGGTTATGCATTGCTGCCATATGAATAGGGATGCGTTCATCATCGTCTTGGAGGTTGTAATCAGCACCAGCCTTAAAAGAGTAAGATCTTTCAAAGCATGAAGACTCACCTCCACAAGAAGTTTTAACGCGTCTAAGTACCCTCTTTCGGCTGTCAGATGGACTAACCATATCTCTTTCCTTAATACCCGGATTTATTCTCAATATAATATTGCCTATACCCTTCAAGAGCCAATTTCGCGTTTTCTTTTGTTTTGTAAATCCGATCAAGGATTACTTTGGCTGTAACGGGATGATTTCCCTCAATTGCTAAATACAGAGGAGTTTTCCCCTCATCATTCTGCATTTTCAATAATGTTTCGCAATCACCGCCCTTAGTAGCTGAAAAAAACAATCAATAAAACAATTTAGTTTAATGGAAAACCTCTCTCTAGAATAAGCCGAACACAACGAGCATTCCCATGTTGAGCAGCAATGTGTAAGGCCGTTGAGGCAGTTTCTTTTTTAGCTTGAATGATATGCCGATAATTTGCTCCTTTCTTCAGAAGAAGTGCGGCTACTTCATCTGCACCATAAACACAAGAAGTTAGTAGAGGAGTCATCCCATGATTATCCTCTATCTAAATTAATCTCACGATAGCGATATCGTCCAAATCTTCAAATGTTACCACGAGATCTATTTTATCTTCTCCATATTCCAATAAAGCCTGAGCTGCAATTAAGTTACCTTTCATGGCTGTATAATGAAGAGGAGTTAATGCATATTCATCTCCTACATTTATATTCCTAAATTATCTTCTCAATTATCTAGAATTAGTTTTTTCTCCTTTTACGCTTCTCTTTCAATCAACAATCTGATTATCATCTCTATGCTACTGCCCCTATCAATAACCGGTACATCTAAACAGTTACGTACGCGACACATACGAAGTGCTGTCATACCTGATTCAAGAGATGATCGAGATCCTTCGCGGCCATATTTGGCAACCATGTGCAGAGCCGTTAGCTTAGCCCCACTCTCTATATTAGGATCCGCACCCTTTTCGAGAAGAAAGCTCACAATCTCACAGTGACCATAACGACAAGCATAATGAAGTGCGGTAAACTGTAGCTCACATATTAGTAAAAACCAGAATGTTTATTGATTACTCCGTCCTGATCCCTGTTATTGATGACTTCAGGATGTTTTTCGAGATTCTCCTTCAAAGAACTTCCTTTGCCGTTCCGTGCACACTATTCAGTTTCAAAATATCATTCAAAGTCTTTCTTTCTGTACCTGATGAATCACTGATCTCACATTCTCTTCATTACTGGGCAAATTTTTCGGCCCCGGAACTGAACAATTTATCGATTTGCTCACGAATGTATTATTAGAACAAACTATGCAGTACAGATAAGCGCCGATGACTGGAAACAGTTCCTCCGCCACCGGGTCGGCCCAAGTTTCCTCCAGTTTCATCACGAGCTGTGTCATCTATAAGTGGAAACTGCTCACTTTCCATCTGAATAATCTATAGAAAATTCATGTTTTGAAAAAGAACGTCACTGCATTGAAGACAAAAGAAATTATGATCAAAAGAGAAGAAATATGAAACATGGGCTACCTGTCTCGAAAATTTTTGTTTTCAACATAACAATAACTTAAAGGTCATTCGACAGTAATTTTCACTGTATGAGTTTGAACTTTCGTTTCGAAAGCCGATAAAGGCTATTTTCTGATATCATGAGTGGATGAGAATCGTTTTTATAACATGATTTTTAAATGAAAGATAGGTGAAGTAATGCAGTAGAGAGAACTAACAGGGAACCTTCATTGGTGCAGGTCACACAGCGTCTGTATTGGTAGCTATGGAGACCCAAACAACTTGCGATAAAACACACATGAGCGGAATGTTTGAGTTCTACGAAAAACCTTCAGTACTATGAATACTATATTTCTTCTCACAATATGTTTCTCACTTGAGCCTCATTTCTTAAGTCTGTAAACTCTCGTTACTGTGAATCTTTGTCATGGACATTGTTGAAAAAAAAAACGAAAAAGGGTATGCACGTGTATCTGCACTATCTACCTATCTACCTCGCAAACGAAAAAAATCGATAAAGTAAATACCGTGTATTGATGTCTCAGTGCGATGGAAACATAATGAAACTCGAAGGAAATAATAAAGTTTATGGTCTTGTTTGACAATAAGAATACCTGAGAATAAAAATTATATCACAGTTTCAAAAACACTTTTACATCTTATGTTATATTATATACATATGCATATACAGAATTTTAATTATATTAGCCTTACGACCTAACAATTTTGACAATGATATCACGGATAGGTTCCATCTCTATATCCGGAATGAGGTCGAACTGCAGAGCAAAAAGAATGAATTGTTTGAAAGATGTGTTAAGGTGAGCTGTAGCCTTCAACTCTCTCATCTTATCTGAAACTATTTTTGCTTTCGGAACCCTTGCAGTCATTACCTGCATGAGATTTGTAAACATGAGCATACACCCGGAATATACGCTTCATTATCGATACACAGACATCTTCAAAGTTTGGAGGAAAAGGATCGCCTGCAACAAAATTTCTTCTAGGAAATGTCCAGCCCCAAAAGCGTAAACTCTAATCCCGCTGTCTGATTTCAAGCAACAGCTGTATTGGGTTTTGCCAACGCCTCTTTACTATTGATTTGGCCGAAGTGGGCTTCGTGTTTATAATATTAGATTTTCGAGGCTTCCTTATAAAGAGGATTTTATTTTGAGCCATACCTAGCTGAGAAGGAAAGACAGCTTCGTCATCTAGTTGATCTTGAACCCATGTCATAACATAATCAATATATCTAGCAGCTGATGTGGACAACCTGAAAGATAGTACTTACACATCTTTACAATCTAAAACATACTTTCTACCCGAGCTATGGGTCCAATAATACTCGTATCTTGGCCCAGCTGTCATGAGAGGACAGGATTCAGAAGTGCAGGCCTCATACAGAGTCCCCATCACCATTTTAATTTGTTTGAAAATATCCACAACTTAATACATAGTTCCGTGAATCAGAAGAAGAGAAGCACTAACTATTAACTGCAAGCCATTCTTGTCGGTCTTCCCCTTCGGGAAGACGGACAACTTCCGCAAAATTCCCACTGCCCAACGTCGGAGCAGAAACTATTGATGTTGGAGCGCTTGTAGGCACTGTGCTCATTTTCCTTCTACAACAGAATAAAATAATAAACTTTTATCTAAAACCAAACAAAAGCTGGACAGTCGAAACATTCTAGATAAATCCGGGTTGGATCACGTGCATATACTAACACGTACCATTACGTAAAGCATTTGGGAAAATTTCGGTTTATCTGCATAGTGAAATACTTATAAAGAATAGAACAATCATGGGTGAAACTCATTCGAGCAAGAAATTATTTACGTAAGAGCAGATCAATAATTAAGATTAAAAGTTCAAAAATATGGACATGGAACAACAATCCCATATACACCAGGAGCAGTTATCGGATGATACAATGAATGTTTGATAGACGCTCTTCTAAGATTCTACATGTGCTTTTAAAGGAAATAATCTGGAGTTCTCCTCGTGACGTGGGGTTCTCCACGTCGAGGAGCAGGATCAAATTGTAAGAATGAGTATTTCAAGTCGTCATCTAGTTCCACCATAGCAGCTTGATTACCACAACGATAACAGTAGTTGGGAGCTGAGAACACGGTTACAACATTGCGTTCATGGCACCAGTTATAACCCTAAAATAACAACTCTAAATTTATTGATTTTTTCTGGCAATTTTCACCTCCATGACTAGTTGGTGAGCACGGGATATTAGGGTAAGTCCGTTAGAGTGATTAAATGTTTCGGATATATCCTGGCCAAAGGTGTAACCAGCACCTCGAGGAGATATTCCCCATCCACCTCTGTCGTCAGGATCTGACCATAAAAGATCGCACATTGGTCCTTCGTGTGGAACCTAAACAAAGAGCAGTGAACTTCTTGAGAACCTAGTTTTATACCTCTTGAATGCGATCCAAAGCTCTGATGTGATCTAATGTATCGATGGATGGAGACAAACCACCATGAAGACAGAAGATTTGGCCATCAACAAGAGCAGTGAGAGGGAAACAATCGAACAGGTCTGTGAAGTACTTCCAGACATTTGAGTTTCCATACTTTCTCAAACACTCGTCATAAAACCCGTACACCTAAAAAAAACAGATTTATGGCACACAAAAACAAGATTCATACTTGTGTGATTTGTCGAGATTCATGATTTCCTCGTAAAATAGTTACACGCTCTCTGTAGCGAACCTATAATATTTTAGATATATATAAAGCACACTTATCATTTTTCACCTTCAGGCAAACTAAGAGACTGACGGTTTCTACCGAATAATACCCTCTGTCAACGTAATCCCCCATAAATAAATAATTAGTATCAGGGCTTTTTCCTCCCATTTTGAAAAGTTCCATCAGATCATGGAATTGCCCGTGAACATCTCCACAGACTGTAACGGGACAACGGACTTCTTGTACATTAGATTCCTTCTCCAAGATTTCTTTTGCCTTTAACAAGTGACTATATAAAAACAAACACATTAAGAATACCTTCTCGCACAATGTTTTAACTTGCTTTTCAGATAGTTGCTTGCACTCATAAAGTTGTTCTATCCACTGATCAACGTCTCCAATAAACGACCTGTCTATGATTTCCCCAACGGGCGGAGCTGATTGAACAACCGCAGTCATCTGAATTGTTTAGTGATATAAGTCATAGTAACACAAGCATATGAAATGAAAGGAAAATATCAAACTGATCAACAATCTGAAAAATACTTTCAGGAAGTTAAGTCTCTTTGAAATCACTGAAAACTAGAAGACAGCAGAAGAAACACATAGTTATGATATATTCTAAATATTGACTTTTCAAATTGCGAAATCAATGATTGCAATCAAGCTGTTCATCTCACACTGGGTTAAAGAGCTAACCTTAGCTTTTTCGTTTTAGAGTAGAAACATAATGAAGCCCTGTTGATTTTCTAATCTTATACAAAAAATTATGGATAATATTCAAAATAGGCTAGTCTAGGCATCGAAACTAACCGTAGATGGGCGCCTGTTTTTCTAACGGCGCGAAAATAGATGTGGAGGACGCGCGTGCGCTCCGCGTAGCGGTTTCCTACCTATCAAATCGAATGTTGAGCAGGCGATGCGCAGCGAATTGGCACTCTTCCAACTGTTGTCTGAGTCTTTTCCGCCTGAGGCTATTTCTTCTATCGAACTTTGGCTTAATTCATAATAACTACGAGAATAGGAGAAGCATGTTCTGGAGATAACAGTCTGTTAAGAAGTGTGTTATATTTTTTTTCACATTTAATTGTGAATCACTAATCACATAGAGCGGTTGCATTTTTTATATAGTCAAACAGTTTTTAAAAATAGATAAATGTTTTTCTAGCTCGTTTGCTCCTTGTTCGGCCGGATCATTAGATTTGTTCTTAATACCATATGCTTAATATTTCTATAAGAAGATTATTCGAAAGTTGAGATAATAAGTCTGCTAGTAAATGCCACTAGCGCTTGTCAGTCATGTTTTTTCTGAACGCTAATTTATAACTGCTTGTGATGATAAAAATTTTGTATCTGTTTCTGTTGATTAGTTGAATTATCGCATAAAATGAAGCGATGAAAGATGTAAATCTTTTACGATAAAACAAATAATGAAACAAGTGTTAGAAATATGTCTATCCTTATGAACCTCATGTTCATCTCTTTAATATGATATCACAATAAATTCCCACTTGATAAGGGGGGGGTGCGGCTCCAAACAGAAGCTTATCAAAATGATTAATTCGGCTACTGCTTCAATTTTCTTCATACAAGAGAGTTTAGAACCCTAGTTCTACAGTCAACTTGCTTTAAGGCCACTAAGTTTTCAGTTTCAGAACCATGAGGTTTCTTCAATTTATTTTTGTACTAGTTTTATGTTATTGTGAAGCTAATAGATGTAAGATTACGAGTTGATTTTTTTCTCATTTGTCGTGATAGTTATTTTGGCTACTGATGACCTAACTACCACCGTCGCTGGATCACCTACCACCGTCGCTGGATCACCTACCACCGTCGCTGGATCTCCTACCACCGTCGCTGGATCTCCTACCACCGTCGCTGGATCTCCTACCACAGTCGCTGGATCACCTACCACCGTTGCTTCTCTCACTACTGTTACAGGTTTGGCTCACTTGTCTGAACTGTAGAATGTATCATTTCAGAAGCTCCACTCGTGCTGACTGAATTACCGATAAAAAATGCATTTGTGTATCCAACTAATGGTGCTAGAGGTCTTCTTCAAAACATTCTAGTACTCAGAAATCAAGTTTTACAGTTAGTCGCTACATGATTAATGAGAGTTCATACTTCTCTGCAATCAATTTAGATTGACAGAAGAGTTGCAAAATTTGAGTCAAGACGTTGATCCTACTTCTTCTCCTCTATTATCTCAAATCGACGAGCTTTCTAGTAACGCCGCTGCCATGAACCAAACTATTGCTGCCCTGCAACAACGTTTGATTGTGTGTGAAGTCAAGAAAACTCTTAGTTATTCTAACATTTCAGACTTTGTCAGGTGTGGAAGATACTTTGAACCAGAATGCCACCGTGATTCAATCTTACTTTACCTGCTTATCAAAGGCGGGATGCGTGACCGATGTAAGAGTTGGCTTTGTTTCTAGTTCGCAATGAACCGAAATGTGTTCTCTGTGAGAAAATCATGAGCTTATTTATTCACAAACGGAGCTTCTGCTTTCGCCATTGAAACCAATGAAATATGATATTTTCACTTATTTATACAAACACTTATCTGTTTTTTCAGGCTTCCACCCCAGTTCTGACGACAACAAAACCACCTCTTGGTACTTATTAATTTTGTTTCACAGCTCAAATTCAATTTTTTTAGCTGCTTGTCCAAATCCTCCTTCAACAGCTACCGATTCTCCTCAAGATTATACGCAAGATAGTCTCTCGGTATATTTAGATTAACACTTTATTCTAAGCATATATATCAGAATGTAAACTGTTCCTCTGTCATTGGAGGGTCTGGGAAGGTATCTTTGACAATTGATTCAGTGACCATTGCTGGAACAGCAGTCTTAACTATTACTGATGGAGCATCAGGAGCAACTTTAGCGAAGTAAGATGTACAGAACTGAGTTCTCATGATATCTTTTTGAGCATATCGGCCACGACTTCCGAATCAAAAACTATTTCTGGAGACAATTTGATTATCTATTACAAAGCAAGCACAAGTTCTTCAATAAGTTTCAAATTATCCTATGCAAAACGTGAGAGTTATGAACATTTTGAAATAACATCTTCTTTGAAGAAAACCTCTGTGATGGTGCCGATGATATGTGTGGACCAAACGGTAAATGCCAAGTCGGAAATGGGAAGGCGTATTGCTCTTGCAATGCATGCTTTTCGATTGGATCAGATCAAAAATGCTCAAACCGTTTGAATCTTATCTTTAATTCTAAATTATGTCTAATTTATTAAGAACAAACTGTATGTTCCGCCCGCGAAAAGGCTAAATGCAAAGATGAAACTCCTGTCTGCACAATGGGACCTGATGACGCAGGTCAAACGTGTGTTGCCAAGTGCGGTAAGAAATAAAAATGAAAAACTACTTCAAAATCATATTTTCTACAGTAGCTGATGGAGCGAGTATTGCTGCTTGGGTCAGAAAACTTTATAGATGAAGTATCTGCAGCCCAGAGTGATATATGGAATAAATTGAGAGAAAATGTTTTTATTTAGAAAACATTCTTATTTAAACTTGTGCGGGAAATAGAAAATCTCCACTTATTTTCTATAGATATCTAATACTCACCGAAACAATGGCCTTCGAATATGTTTCTGTGTATAGTGAACTTCAATTGTTTGTTTTAGCTCTTGTTGGTTGAAAGCAACACAAATATATTGAAAAATACAATGCTGAAAGAAAGATTTTCCCTAAAAACATCTTAACTAACTGCCTCCCGATACGATCTGAAAGGCAACTTTCATATGGACCGTGTTCACTAAACTTAGTGTCATGGGGTGTTTTCGCAGCCGCGACAGCAAGTCTTCCTTCCCACCTAACTTTTCTTTTTATGAATAAGAACAACTGGGGAGGCATCACAACGAAAAGTTTCAATATGAACTTCTGCGTTCGTACAAATCCGTGCCAACAATAATAACAACGACAGGCGGAAGAAAACACTTTGTTGACAACAACCAACCGAAAGATCAATGTTTCTTGTGTTTCTAAAAGAATCTAAACAATAGAACATCGACACATCTAGACGAATTTATAGATAAGTTTACAAACACCTTGGATAGCTAAAACGACAGATTACATCATTTATGCACAATGAGACGAATGAGACGAATAAGACTAATTTCATTTAAAGCTTAGGGGATCATCCTGAGGATTCAGCACGTTCACATTTCATTTCTAAAGGATAATTTGTGCAATTCATAGAGAGGAAAACTCACTTTGCTCTTTTTAGGAGAAACCTTAGTTTTCTTCACAGTTTTCTTGGACGAAACCTTCTTTTGTACTTTTTTTGCCGCGGATGCTTTCTTCACTACCTGAAACTACAGTTAATATAAACGAATAATTGAAACCAACCTTAGTAGTCTTCTTTGCTTTCGGTACTTTTGGCTTTTTTACGAGTACACTCTTCTTCACAGAGCTTTTTTTTGAAGCAGCAGCCATGTGTCTACTATGTAGATTTATGTGTATGTGATTCTCCGTCGTCCTTTGGAGGCGGTCCGAATAAACCAGGCTTAGTGAGCTAGTATTTCTCCGCCTCTTTCAATGCTGGCTGTAAGCCAAACTCCTCCCATGTGACTCAGACTTCGGTAATGGTATCTATGACAGCGGTCAATTGGTTGTCACATGATGAAACAATCTTTGTTACATAAGCTCATGTAAGACAGGCGAAAAATATGACCAAACGATTTATAATATGAGGAGCCTTCAATACAAACAAACTCCTTGATCAACCTCTCGAATATCTAATAGGGCCAATAGGAGTAACATGGATTTGTTAAAGCTAATCTGGTAAATTACAGGGAAAGCCACTTTTCAGTTATATTATTATTTGCTGCAACGTTTTTCACATGGCCTTGCATACAATGAACAAAGAGCATTGTTGAAGGAAACCAGATCTAACCCGGGTCCATTTGCATATTGACAAATACAAGAAATTCTTTATGGTATTGTAGTAAATACTAGAAAAGAAAATTGCGATACGGTAAACCAGATAGGACATTGTATTGCGGAACATAATTTTGAGTGACTTTTCATGTAATAATTGACTACTGAGTAGAAGGCCTAGGCCCTGAGAAGCAGAAAGGAGATTAAAACTGGATTTCAGTTTATACATAATAACATTTTTTTCTAGTGAAAACTAACGTAAGCTCGAAAGGTTAGCCATGGTAGAGAAAGGTCAGTAAAGGATCAAATAATCAATTATAACAATAAATAAACACAAAGTTAATATAAGGATTAAGTTTTATGAAATTATATCCAGACGGGCTATATTTTATCATTTGAGGTTTCAGTTCAATAATCTAAAGACAAAGTTAAGCATGTTATTCTCAGTGCACATCTCGGATTACGGTTCCGAAAATTTAAACTGACATCTCGTTTAAAAAATATTGATGTTACAGAATCTTTGTTGATTTTCCAATAAGGTATAAATAATGAGAAACAATGTGTCTCATTACTTGTGAGCAAAGGAAAGTTTGCTCTATTCAACCCTACCGTAATCTAAGAAAAATCCTTTAACATTTAAAAAATGACGTAGCGCTCATCTTTGTCCATATTTCGATAGTTCATGATTTCCTTATAGTATTCATCATGGAGCAGCCTAATTGAAAATATGGCTTGCTGAAATCGGTAAAATCTGATTACACTCAATCTTTCAGAACTTTCTTAATATTCTAATACTGCGCTAGAATGTTCTGTAACTATTTAATGTATCGTATCGACCATGGTTGTCTCGTTTCTTTGGCGCTCTTTGCATTCTGCTCATAGTTTTAAATCGTGTTGAAGAGTTCTGCGTTGTTGGTTAATTTTTAGGACACTAAGTGGTGCTGCTTTCTTCTTTAGTCCTTGCTGTTCTCTTAGATTGAACGGCGTGTTCTATTTTGTTTTATCTGTAAGATATTCCAACTGTTTATAATGATTTGAAGCATTTTTTCAGTTTTCTATGAGTTCGATTGTTGAGGGATTTTCTTCGACCATCTCTACATCTCCACCATCCAAGAAAGCCCGTGTACTCGAGTGCTCTGATAACCCCACTCAAAAGGTAATTTAGATTCCTTTCCGCTTTGTTTTATGCCATAACAATACTATCACTCGTTTTCGTAACCTAGCAACCATTGCTGTTCCATCCTTCCTTAAATGTCTTTGGTTTCTGAGTTTATTCTATCACTATCATGATCTAGTTTTTACTAGTATTTAATTAGAAATATTCACAAATGTATAGATTATTCCTACGTCTTATGATGAAGGTAAGCCTAAGTGATTTAATCACTCGCTCTCGTCACAATAGGTTTAAAATCTGATCAAACCGTTTCTGTACTTATGAAGTTTAATTAAATGTAGTTTTGAGCGTTTTTTCTTCACGCTTTTCTATTTACTTGTGGTATTTGTTGTTGCGCACAATGCTGAGTTAGCTTGTCAGCAGAGCACAGCTTTTTTGTCATCACATTTTAGATTTTGATTTCATTTAGGATTCTTACCAATTTTCTTCGGAAGACGGTAATAAGAACAAGATGACCACTAACGGGAACAACGGTACTCCAATGGAGACTAACGAATCTGACTTGGACAAGAACTTGTACTCGAGACAAATGTAAATTTAAATATTACTCATATTATTATTTTATCAATTTTCAGTTATGCTATTGGTGAATCAGCTATGATGAATCTAAGAAGTTCTTCTGTCTTGATTTCCGGCATAGGAGGTGTTGGAGTAGAGATTGCCAAAAATCTCATCTTAGGAGGTGCGTTCTTCTTATATCAATCGATTTTGATGACTGCTTGTAGGTATACGTCATGTAACTTTACATGATACCAAAAAAGCTACATGGTCTGATTTATCCGCGCAGTACTATTTGACTGAAGAAGATATCGGAGTCAATAGAGCTGAAGCCAGCTTCGAAAGGTATTTCAGTTTTTTTTTATAGTTCAGTAAACTTTGATAGATTGGCTGGTCTTAATGATTCTGTAACATGCCAAATCATCACCGACCCGCTCACTGAAGAGTTGATCAAACAATTTGATGTAATTTTTCTAAACATGTTCGCCATCCAATGTGTTCATTTTACAGTTGACGATTCTCACAGACACTCCAAGAATCATTCAGTTGACTATCGGTCAATGGATCCGAAATCATAACAAGCGTTTGCTGATCGCTGATGCTCGTGGATTATTCAGTTACATTTTTGTTGATCTCGGTGATGAGTTCAGAGTCGATGATTCCAATGGAGAGCAAGTCAAAGAGGTTTAATACTTTTCTTTATGTCAGTAACATAACGAACGTTTCAGTTCCACATCGAAAATATATCTGATACTGGCGATGTAACTACACTCGAAAAGACCATGCACGGTTTAGAGGATGGAGATCACGTGACATTCTCGGAACTTCGAGGAATTACCCAGCTTAATGATTGCAAGCCTTTGAAAGTTACCGTAAAAAGTTTGTTACTTTGATCTCTCCTTATGTAGCTTGATATCTATTCAGAACCCTTTTTGTTCAACATTGGGGCTGAGAATGTGGCAAATTTACCATTATATGAAGACGGTGGCAGAGCACGTCAAGTTAAGGTGTGTTGGGAGAAAATGGCCTTTTTTGCTTTTATACGTGCAGGTTCCTTTCACCGTATCCCATAAATCATTGGCCGACTCTTTGTCCGATCCTGAGTTTGCAATCTGGGACTTTGCCAAGTTTGATTGGCCAGGCAGTCTGCACAAGCTTTGGGCTGCCCTCTACCGTTTTGAAGCTAAGGTAATTTTACAACAAAATAATTTGAAAGTTTTTGGCTGTTCAGCATGGTAGATCTCCTGCTCCTAGATGCGCTGAGGACGTTGCTCTTTTGAAAGCTGAAATTCAATCTGAAGATGAAATAGATGAAAATCTGATCAAAGAATTCTCCTCTCAAGTTTGTTTGGTTGATCTGATGTGTTCGTAACGGCTTTTTCTCAGGCTACCGGAAACTTGGTAACAGTATGCTCCGTAGTTGGTGGTATAGCTGCTCAAGAAGCCATGAAGGCCGTGACTCATCATATGACTCCTTTGAAGCAATGGGTTTATATTGATCATATTGAGGCTCTTCCTGGAAACTGGTCATCGTTTGACGCTGATAAACTTACTGCCGCAGACTGTGCGCCTGTATGTTTTTTAATACGGTTTTCAGAGAACTTTTCTATGAATTCAGAGAGGCACTAGATATGATGGACAAGCAGCTGTGTTCGGATGGCCATATCAGGAAGCTTTATTCAAGCAAAGATGGTTCATAGTTGGAGCAGGTACTGAAGGCTTTTGAACAAGTTTGACTAGTTATTATTTAGGTGCGATTGGTTGTGAATTACTTAAAAATATGGCCATGATGGGTGTGGCATGCGGGGATGGAGGTTTGATCAAGATCACCGACATGGATCAGATTGAAATTTCTAATCTGAATCGTCAATTCTTGTTCCGCAGAAAGGACGTTGGAGTGCGTAGCTTACTCAGTTATGAATGTACTCAGCACTACTTTAGAGCAAAAAGTCTGAATGTGCTTCCGAAGCTGTTAAATCTTTCAACAAGGATGTCCGAATTGAATCGCTTTCTGAACGTGTCGGAAATGATACTGAAAATATCTTCAATGATAGCTTTTTTGAAGAGTTGAATGGTGTTGCTAACGCATTGGATAATGTTGACGCCAGTGAGTTTTGACCATGTGATATCTTAGCAATACGAACTTCAGGAAGGTACATGGATCGGCGTTGTGTGTATTATGGTCTGCCTCTTTTGGAGTCCGGAACTATGGGAACGAAAGGAAACACCCAAGTGGTATATCCATTCTTGACTGAATCTTACAGGTGAAAAAGAGTTTTAAATATTTGTGGCCAAATTATGCAAAATAAATTCAGCTCTTCTGTCGATCCACCTGAGAAAGAGATCCCTATCTGTACTCTCAAGAATTTCCCCAACGAAATTCAGCATACTATTCAATGGGCTAGAGACTTATTCGAAGGACTTTTCACAGGTTCTTTATATGTATTCAACTTATCACAATATTATCCTAGCTCCCGCTGAAACTGCCAATCAATTCCTGAACGATCAGAAAGGCTTCATGTCTCGTTTGGAACAAGTCAATAGCGGGCAACGTTTACAACTTCTTCAACAAGTTAAAGATACTCTCATCGACGATAAACCAAAGGATGGGGCTGACTGTGTTGCTTGGGCCGTAACACTCTACCAAGTAAACTATTTTCTTACCACTGTGTAAAGATTTTCATTAAGGAGAACTATCATAATAACATTGCTCAAATGCTTCATTCATTCCCTCCTGATCAGGTTACCGATCAAGGAGCCAAATTCTGGTCGGGAACCAAGCGTTGTCCTCATACTCTCAACTGGAATCCTAATCACGTAAAAGTTTCCGCTTTGTACTCGGCTAATTATTTCTGCAGGAGGAGTCTGTGAATTTCGTCTACTCTGCTTCAATCTTGAAGGCCTTCGTTTATGGAGTAACACCTATTCTTGATGTTCAAAAAGTTATAGATGTGAGTAGAACAAATTATTCTTAAAGTGAACACATTTGATTTTCCACAGATCGCTTCCAAGATTGAAGTAGTCCCTTTCAAGCCTAAGGTTGGTGTTAAAATTGCTGTTACTGATCAAGAAGCTGCTGACCAATCGAGTGGTGTTGGAGGAGGTTTTTTGTTATTCTCTATCATGTATCAAGCTTTGGTTTCTCAGATGATAGTGATGTTGTCTTCCAAGAGTTGAAACTAGCTCTTGCTACTATCTCTGTGAACGATTTACCCAGATTAAATCCAGTTGATTTTGAGAAGGTTTGGCAATATTAGTTAAATTCGCTTTAGTTGTACCGTAGGATGACGATTCTAATCATCATATGGAGTTTGTTACTGCTGCATCTAATTTGAGAGCTGAGAATTATGATATCAAAACAGCGGACCGAATGAAAACTAAACAAATTGCCGGAAGAATCATTCCAGCTATTGCTACAACCACCGCGGCTATTGCTGGATTAGTTTGTGTCGAACTTCATAAGGTAAATTTCCACCTTGTTCCTGTGTAACTATAAATTTCAGATGATTGATAGCGTAAGAGTTCCCAAGATCCCACTAGAGAGGTTCAAGAACGGATTCATCAACTTGGCTCTTCCATTCTTCGGCTTTTCAGAGCCTATCGCTGCTCCCAAGAAAAAAGTGTGGTTGAAATTTTTTTGGTTACAGTAGTTTTATATTCAGTATGGAAACACTGAATTCACACTTTGGGATCGATTGGAATTGAAAGGGCCCAAAACTCTTCAAGAAATGCTCGATTGGTTTGCCAAGGAAACTGGAGTGCAAGCTACAATGGTCTCGTCTGGAGTTTGTCTCATTTACTCTGGTTTCATGAATCCACAGAAACGTACCGAGCGTCTGCAGAAAGAGTAATCACACTTGACCCTAACTAAGAACCATTAACGTATTCAGAGTGAAAATTGTTCTCGAAGAGATATCTCGATCTCCAACACCTGATTGGCGCCAGTCCTTGATTTTGGAGGCTATGGCCGAAGATGATAATGGAGAAGATGTCGAAGTTCCTTACATAAGATACATCTTCTAAACTTAATTTATTCTTCTTTATGATTGTGATCTAAAATTCACATACACGAGTTGTTTTTTTTCCCGTTGATGGAATATCCCGGTAGTTTCTTAAATGCTTTTCTTAATAAACGAATCATTCAAAGTGTTTTCCTAAACAGTATGATATACGGAGCATCTTGAGTGCTGTAGAAAATGTCAGATCGTAATGTGTAAAGTAGGTAAAAATTTATTTCAAATGACCGGTAACAATTGCACTTCAAATGATTAAACGGGAACAATGAGGTATTTGGCTCAACAAGCATTATTGTCCGAGGTGTCAGTAAGGTGAAGTTTATCAATAGTGAATGTACCTTTACTTCCTTTCTCGGTTAAACGGGCGATTAGATATATCTAAACGAGAACGCATGTCATGGTGTTTGAATCACGCTTACCTTGGTATCGCTAGGGAGCAGCTCTATATAGTCTTTTCCATTTTTATCTTCGACTTTGTAACAATTTTCTAATTCTTTTTTAGCACTATCATTGCAGACGAATAAAGTCACATCGCCCTTGAATTCATTGTTTACATTAATAAATAAATATCTTACCTCGATAAGATATTCGAAATGTAGTCGTGAAACCGTATTCAAATGGAAGGAGACTGATTCCAAAATAGCTACATTGTGTGCTTTATTCAATGAGGCGACTAGACGATGTTTCACAACCTAAAAAAACACTTTCTTCAATTTCTTTTAGTCTCTCTCTTATACATGATGAAGAGCTCCATTGGCAATATTACTACTCTCATACAAACAAGGATAACCTCTCGAGAAATCACATGACAAGAGACGGCAAACGTTAGGATCAGGAACATCAGCTGCTTGTGGTCTATATGACTTAGCTGAGAACTGCCGAACAACCGATGGACACACTTCCCCCTTGAAGAGAGAATAAATATAGAGAACAAGAACGCGTCTTACTTGAACGTCTATATTATCCACAATGACGATTCCCTGATCAGGTGCTTCAGCTCTCAATGCAATTCGGAATGGTCGTTTGATTGCAGGTAAATCTACAACAACTGGACCAGGCTTTGCGGGTTGACAATCGAGAAGCGATGGTGATGCTTCATCTACGAGGCAAACCTAAACAAATGCAATCAAATCCATGAAATGGCCTAAGCAAATGAAATCTTACCTGGAGGGAAGCCGAGCCTGTTATCCACATATTAAACTGAATACTTGCTGTATCCAGCACACATCTGATTACTTCTGAGAGAAGTAATGCGGAACCTCCTGTTTCCAAACGTGCAACAGCAAATTCACCCTCTTGATCATCAGTGAAGTGAATAGGCTATAGATATGTTACCTGGTAATTCACTACTTCCAGTCAGTGAAAAAAACTTTTCATGGTTCAAGGGACCGTGTCCTACACTCCAGACATTTCCTGCGATTTCGCTATCAACATCAGGAGCGTCGGTGGAATCAGCTGGTCCCCACACACAATCAGCGGCTCTACGGGAAAAATCACAAGCAAGTTCCTAGAAAACGTTTCTATAGACTTGAGCTGTTTTTGAAACTAACCTTAGCAGAATGAATGTGACGGTTTAGTAATAAACTCAGCATAGGAGTTGAAAGGAAATGTTCACCTAGGTCAAAAACACTGAGCGCATCAGTACATAGGGTAGCTGTGTATTCTATATCGTCTATAATGACAGCTCCGTCGAAGTCGCTATTGAATGTTTTGATGCGGATGACCAACTGAAAACTAACATAATATTACTCTCTCAATGGATATTTTACCATAAAATTTTTTGCTGCGCTCTGGAAAGAGATTTTTACCGGTGCAGGACTCATGGCTGAAGGCACATCCTTGCATTCCATATCTTTTCCAGTGTTCACATCGATAGCACACACTTCTAGCTCTATTTCTTTTGTTTTCCAAAACCTTAAGACTCATGTAGAATGATTGGCTGACAGAGACTACCTGAACGAAAGTGCATTTTCTGTTTGGCTTTGACAGCTGATTGGATCGGATCGTAAATAATCAAGTTTTTCCTTAAACGAATATATCTTAAAAAGCTATGATACAACGGATACCTTTGTGTCTTGTTCTATGTAGAGAATAGCATATCTACCATCTGGACCAATGTCATTACCTGTTGTATTGTACAAAAACTCTCTTGGGAGTGTTGATGTTGATCTTTTCCAACTCTGTAAACATGGGAAAAAATGTTCTTGATCGAACTGTTACTTTTGGTCCTCTCGCTGAAGATCTCCAACGACAACGCTGATCAAAATTGTCACACCCTAATTGAGATGCTGCACTTATAGGTTTACCTTCCGCTGAAGTTTCCAATGAAAACGATTGGAACTCATCACCGAGATCAACTTAAGCATTTAATTAATATTGAAGAGTACTAGCTCAATCATCATACTTGCAACATTACACAAAGAAGTGCTGTACAGGATATTGTCAATCATCACAAAAGATCCTTCTGGAGTAGCCATATCATAAGCTCGAATACCAATTCTTAAAAAAATATCGTACCGCATTAGAATTATAAGAATTGTAAAGAACCTGAAGGGAGTCAAGCGTGGAGGAATGATTGCGTGACATTCCGTGTTAATTTGTAATGTTCCTATAAAGTAAAATTTATCACTCGAAACTCAAAGTTTGAAATGAAGTTTCTCTTCTCGAAATAAATCTTTTCTTCCTATGCATACTATAATTTGAAAGAAGTTCAAGTCGACCTCAGCTGTTTGTAGTTTGCACTGTGCATGGATAACTCCATGTTAATCGATCGAAAACAGACTCACTCACTGATCTACACTCAGAAATAAAAACAATCGTTTCTCTTTTTACGTGACTTTCTTCGTTTAGATGTTTTGAGACAGATTATCTATAACAGTACCACAATCAACATATGGCTTTTCGTATACGACTTTGTATCCATCGGCTGAGTCTTCCAACAATATTACTTCTACGCGAGCGCTATTATACACCCAGTATCTAAAAAGGGGAGCTTAACTTGAGGAAGAGTGGCTTTACGCACGTGAATGTCAAGTTCCCAGTAGTGTTCTGACATCCGATAGGCGAAGAGTAGAAAATAGCATGCTGTTCGTCTCTTCTTTTATCTCCAGTAAAAATCATTTTTTCTCCTGTAATACTATAATGTTAGGCGAGATTTCATTTCGGATTCGCAATTTCTCGAATTTATCCAAAAAAAGGATCATGTAAGGCTGTTTATGACACAATCAAACGACTTTTTTATGGCGAATGTTTCTTGTTTTATTAAATTTTAATGAAATGAACCTTCAGGGACTTTCGTTGGTCCTGGACCAACTCGGAGAGCTGGAAATTCAGTGAAATCTGTTTTCTCGAATAAGTGAAAATCAAGCGAATCGAGGCCGCTGCCTTCATCCATATTTTTCCAATGGCATTTGGATGGATCGGAGAAATCACAGTTCAAGTCGTAATCATGTCGGATCGGTTTGGTAGCCGCAAAATCTGAAAACATGTGAGATGACGGAGAAAAACAAAAATTGATAAATTGAAAATTCAAGTTAGAACTGTATGAAGAGAAAAGCAATCTTGAAGTAGAGTTATCTTATTGTGAAAACTTTACTTGATTTATCCAATCCATTAGGAATCCATTCAATTCCAAGATGTTCTTTCAATCGGTCCCGTTCGCGTTCATAACCTGGCATACAGGCAAGAGCTGAATGAGCAATTTTCGTAAAGAAAGAGGAAAATGATATAAAATTAACCTGTGGAGAAAATAAATAGAAATATTTTAAACATCTTCTCTCTCAGTTTATGTCTTACAAAGAAAAGTCTAATAGCATAGGCTTGATGGTTGGATGGATATGTTTAAGGGAAGGAAGAAGTTGGTGGAATGATGGAAGGGCGAGAAACTGGGAGGGGATGAACCTGTTTCTATGAAAAGACAGAGTTAAACATGAGAGATTAGATTTTCTTATCTATCCTCCCTACATGAGTCTTCTGTTCTAAGCTGATTGCTTGGAAAGTAGCCAGGAACGGCTTTAATAGCTGAAGCTTTTAATTGCACAATAATCGCTTGATCATTTTTCTCGACAAATATCGCGAGGAATCCCATGGAATTCATTCAAAATCATGAGGAATTTCACTCTTTTCTTTTTTTTCAATTCAATTTCTTAAATGGATGTTCCAGTTTTTTCTTGAGATATGCAAATTTATCTCATTCGCAGAGGTCAATCGATCAGTCGGCCAGCAATCATACTCCGGTTGTCACCATGGCAACAGGAACCTCAGCGTTCTGTCAATAATACTGCTGGGAAACCATTTAATGGCTTACAAAAATATTTTCCTAATCTATATTTTCTATATTTATTATATAAAATGTGAAGAAATTTGCATAAATAATGTTCAATATCATCGTGGATCAAACTATTTGCCTTCAACAGGACCGTTCTGTTTGGTTCGACAGTCTAGTACGTAACGTTTAAGAAGTATTCTCGATAAGAAATCATTCTTCATTTCGTACCATAAGTTCTAAAAAAAGAAATGAAAAGCCATATCACCTGCCATCATCATATCCATTCTGGGGCTTGATCGCGCAATCAAGTTATGCTTGAAAACGAGATCTCTCGCAATACCTCCGCTGACCATACATGATGATAGATGAAATCGTATTTGGGCTTTATCCTATTGTCATTTTTGGGATAATTAAAACTATAGTTTGATTAAAAAAAATTTTTCAGAACAGGAAGCTCTAAAGGAAATGGAAATATTGACCACAGCAGAGAGGTTTGAAGAACTGGGTTTGCTGACCAACGATTCAAACGTATCATGATTGTTATAAATGACGCATAGTTTATGAATACTTTCCAGATGGAAGTGAAAGTCGTTAGATTGAAAAAATCCAGTGATAGCGAGGAAACGCCTTTTGTTATCCCCGCTATCACTTTTGATGATTTTTGTTCTGGCAACCAAGAGCTGGGTGAGAGGACCTATTCAATTTGAAAACCAATGTCATGTTTTCAGAAATCGGAAGAAATGTCACTTTCAGTTGTATGCGATCGTTAGATACTTGTAATAATAATAGTTATTTATCAATTGATCATATAGTTGGGCAGTCCTATGTAAGATTAATTTCAAAGATTCTACTCTTGTTCTCGAAGAATCATTCTAATTGAAAAGTCAACGTTTTTCAGTTATTGGATTCAACTATTGGGAGTTTCCAAATTCGGAAACCTGTTTGGATAAACGGCACGTGTCATGACGTTCTTAAAGAAGTTGGTTGGATCTTTTTGATTCTATATCTCTAAAATGGGTTTCAGATCAAAATAGTATTCATAGTTAATAATACTGAAATCATCGATTGCATAATCGGCGAAATCGAGTTCACTGATGCTAAGACAAACTTCCAGCAGACTTATTCGATCCAATTCATCGATAATTCTTTTAATGAAACAAACAGTAGAGGGTATAAATACGGAGATCAGATTATCACCGACAAAAGTAATTGAAGTCTATAGAGTGAACTAGTCCATGTGTTTCAGACAATACTGTTTTGATAGTACCTTCAGTTGGGTATTGTTCCAAGGTTGATGCCATATCCATTCGGTTCCTTCAACGAGTATCAACTGGGTGTTTCATCAGGTCTGGTTCTCGCATATCTGTAATAGAATCTGGTCTATTTAGAGCACAATCATGTAAAGAAGCACAATCTCTAATACAACAAACCTATGACGCATTCAGTTCCGACTTCATTATGTCGGAGCTATCTGGGGACTCACGTCGAGTTCCTTTTTTGAAAAGGAATATCTCATTTCCAGCAGTAATGCGCAAATTTATTTTCATTTTATTATAATATTTTCATATTTCAAGGTAGCGATAGATAACTTGTGTTCGATAGTTTCATCTTATAAGCTCAAAATAGCTTATGCTAAACAAGGCTTTGAGCACGATTTCTATCTTCTTATTGTGGCTTTCACATCAAACTATAAACTATCTCAGGTAGTATATATAAACAAGTGTTTGAATGTGCAAAGCATTTGTTAAGGTTCCTTTCATCACCAATCAGACAATCCACATCCCATTCCATTTCACTTTCCAGGATGTAACGCAGGGTATTCTAATTTGGCTCCTTTTGTTATCATGGATATGACATTTCAGCTCCGCTATCTACATTTGCTGCTCTACCTCACATAAATCTCCGATTGCCGAGTGATTTCTTCTTTCCATTCATATCATCTGAAACCTTTACGTATCACTCATTCTCATCATTTTTTGTTCTGTTATACTATTTTGCATATTCATAAATGACGCGGGAAAAAGCACGTGCCACGTCATTTTGGTTTTATTGTGCACGTCTGACCGGTTGCTCTTTAGATATCTAGCTCAGGTACAACGCAATTTGGATTTTTATTAATAAGTCTCAAAATATAAAAATGTATAATCCCGTTTAATGAGAAACCCGTGAGTACATAAAAGAGAAAAAAGCGCTGCATCAACTGTTAGGAAAAATACTGTTGCGATATTTAGGTTTGAATGAATTAACAGAACTTGGCCTATTATCCATCACATTAGGACTCTTAAAGACAATGATTATATAATATGATTAAAGCGGAATATGATATACCAATTGATTAGTTGACACAGCGCTTGATCGTCAACTTTCCTCTGGATGAACTGATGGTGCTGGCGATGGAGTAGCTCGACAATCATTCTGCAAAATCTCTTTTGTTTATGAATTCGGAAAAAAAGAGAGACTTGGAGAGTGTTATAAGCAGCACCAATAGCTCGCAAAACTTTTTCATGAAAAGGATCCATGAAAAGCAGAATTTGGTCCCCTGGTGAACTAATGACATGAACTTGAACCCTCTCTCTGAATGTTTGCATGACCCAATGCTCAACATAAACATTTCAAACCAACCTATGCGTTGGAGCTCTTAGTGTGCTACGATTTTGGATAAATTGATCGAGATAAGCACTAACTCGGTCGTAAAACATAATTCGTTTGTTTACCTGTAATGTAAGAGCATTATTGAGAATAAAATAATACAGAACAAACCTTTTCTTCAGGCCTTCTTATTGAATCGAGTGAAATGGCGAAATTTTCATCAGAAGCAGCAGTTCTTTCCAGAAATTGTTGCAAAGAATGAATTTGTTCGATCTGCATGAAAGAATGAGAAGAATAAGAAGAATAGAAACTACCACATCTACTGATTTGTCTTTTACAATATCTCCTAAACGTATTTTCCTCAATCTATAGTATTCCAAGTCAATATCATTGAATAGATGTTCTTCTGAACAAATGTATCAAGTATGACTATTTGAAAATTCTAATAAACTCATTGCAAATAATAAAATTCTATGTGTCTGTCGTTGATATGTGAAACCGAAATCTCTTAAGATATCTGTAACGGTACTGGCAGCATTTTTAGTTTTTCCATTCAGAGTTAATCGAATAATTCGTTTCGTTTGAGCAAAATATCGAATAAACGGCGAAGAACATCGATGATAAGCTTCTAATCGTTTCTGAAAAAAATGAACATTTTGTCATGAAAATATCATTTTAGGCGGATATTCATTTACTCTTTATTTCCCAAAATTTCCTTCGCAACTCACAGGAAATTATGTGACGTCACGCATCCAAAATTTCGGATGAGAAAAATGATTTTTCGGATCAAAATGAAAAATCGAAAATTATTATACTTTTACACAAATCTTTGGCAAACAGGGCTAAAGAGAGAGTGGTAAGTAGAGAGAATACTACAGAGAGAGAGAGAAAGAAAGAGAGAGAAAGAGAGAAAGAGAGGAGGAGGGGAATGTAGAGTAGGTTTAGAGAGAAGGAGGTAGGTTTCACCTGTAAACGACCTTTATCAATATCGTCCATTCCTTGCATAAAATTATTTAATTCTTTACTTAATTCTGGTTCCTGAAAACGGAGAATAATTGAAAGAAGTGTTTGTGTTGAACACCTTTTTGTTTTTGTTTGTTGTTGTTGTTTGTTCCAATATTTCATCATCAAAGACATTTAATTCTAACGCAAACATCACAGGATTCTTAAATGAAAAAGTTTGAAAGACAGAAGAAGACTAACGAATTACTCTTCTTTCAAAGTTTTCCAATGCTCTGAAGTTATTAGAGTTCAGAAAGCAATCAGATCGCATAATACTTGAGATTTCGGGGATGACATCTGAAAGAGTAGAGGTGCACATGAAGAAGTACGTGGTGTGACGTGCGATGAAAAATAAAAATAGTTTTGTTATCTCATATGACAAAGAGTTGTTCATGAAAGTATAAATGAAGAAACCTTTTTTTATTACAAAATATACGTCAAACTGAGGTCTTTCAATCAGCCAAAGGTTTCGTCTTTGAGGGTTTCTCTCTTGTGAAAGAGAAAAAAAATTTATTTTTCTCCTTGTTTATGTTTCTAATGAGAAATAATCCATAATCACTAACCTATTATGAAACGCTGCAGATATGAAGTTGATAGCTTAGCGCTTATCATTGAAAAAATCCAATCCAGCGATAACACACCAGCATCATTCTGAATATTGAAATAAGATTTTTAAATTATTAAAACTTATATACTTTAAGCATATTTATGATTTCACTCGGTTTTTCAACTGTGTTCGCAACTTTCGTTGGCAAATAATTGAAAATAATATCATCCGTACTGATAGTGACGAAGTCGTAACGTCGTCTTAATTCTTCTATGATTATCCCTTTTTGGGAACCTGGACCACCTAGATCGATTTGCATTACAAACATTATTAATTGAATCAAAATATTTACCGAATATAAATATTATCGATTTGTCTTTATTCAACATTTTTCGAACACCACTTCCGATGGAGAGTGGAATAGGTGGTGGAGGAGCGAATTCTGAGAATATTTCTTCTTTCTTGTTATTGACATTATTTGAAACTCCGATTGATGGTGTACATGATGGAGCACAACCCATCTGGAAATAAAAGGACAAAAAATAGAAAAATAAGAAACTTCAGACGAATTAAGAGGACGGCAAATTTAATTTTTTTTGAAAATTCCGAGATAAAACAAACAAAAATGACATTCAGATAAGATTATTCACAGATTATAGTAGAGTTTTCATTACTTTTTGAGAAACTTCGTTAAAATTCAAATGAAATGAAAAAAAAGGTTCATAACTCCCATATATGGAGATAAATGACAACGTTGATATCCAGATAATACGTCAGAGCTGTACATCAAAGAAGATTGTGAATTGAATAGAGAGAGAGAGGAAGAGAGTGAGCAGAGAGGGAATATATTTATAGAGAGATATGGATAGAAGGAGATATGAGAAGCTTAAAATGAGCTTGGGCGGAGCTTTTATGAAGTAAATGAAAAGATATTATGATGAAAGCCGATCTATCTCCGTTTTTCCTAAAATATCATACTTTTCCTTTTCTAAATAAGGAAATGAACTCAATTTCAGTTCAGTACTTACGTCTTTCCGTTTTCGTCTTTAACTTGCAATCATTTTGTGATTTTTTAGACCAATTGTGTGGAGAACTGATAATGTCACAGAGTACACTTTTCCAATTTCAAGATAATTCTTGTTTTTTATGCAAATTTTTCCATAAATGGTCTGTCTCTGCGATCAGTTGACAAACAATCATATTATTGTTTGTTCTATAAGAAGAGATGTTTTTTTAATCAAAAAATATGCAAATGAGGACTTGCCTATGGCTTGTTGCCATGAACTTCGAGACATCAGATGATAAGAGGATGATAACGAAGAGGTATAAATACGAATGAATCTTATCAAGTATGTGGAGTGAGAATGTTCAGAAGTCTAGTTCTTTTCGTATTCCTGTGCTTAGGTATGAACAGCTCTTTCTGCGAGCTCAGTGTCCAATTTGAATGTTATAGGTTGTAATGCTCACAAAATTTTCGTTTATTCCCCCTTGATGGGCCATTCGCATGTTAACTTTATGGGAAGAATTGCTGACACTCTGACTGATGCTGGACACAACGTTGTAAGCTAATCGTAATTCCTTCAACAGATGATTTTCTTCTACTCAGACTTATGTAGTGCCTGTTATGGATCTGAAATTGAAGAAGACATGTGTGAAAACCACTAAAGACGTTCGAATTCTTCCAGCTAGTAAGGAAGTTGAAGAGATTATGTCAGCAGGTCATGATCATCAAATAAAAACCTTATGGGCGATGAAGCATGATCCATTATCGCTTATGAAGGTAGTAGTTCTATCTCCATTCAATTTAATTTCATGGAATTATTAAGGTTTTTGGAAATATGACGAAGGCTTTCGCATTAACCTGCAAACGTACGAATCATTTCACCTATATGACTAACTATGCTTATTATAGAAGTCTTAAACGATAAGAAGTTTTTAGATGACATAGCTAGCGAGAAGTTTGATATTCTAATCGCCGAACCTTTCTTCTTGTGCCCTTTTGGTAAAAGAATGTTTCAAACGATAGATAAACCTTCTGTTTGACAGCTTTGGCGGAAAAATTGAAAATTCCAGTAACAATTGGAGCCTTATCAACCATACAATCTGAAGTAATTTCCGATATAATTGGTTTGGACTGCTTCCTAATTAAGAAATCATCGAAAGTACTTTTCAGGAGAGCCAGTATTGCCGAGCTTTGTACCAGGCTCAATGTCTGTGGCGCAAAGTGATATGAGCTTCTACGAAAGGTTCAAAAACACCTTGAGTGTCACAGCTATGCGCTATCTTTTCCTCGATAGTTACAAAGTAGAATCTGATGTTATCAAAGAAGCTTTCGGCAGTAACTTCAAAAGCTATACGGTTTGGATTTCTAGTTAATCGAAACAAACCAATTTCGTACAGGAGTATTTGGCAGACGTTTCCTACGTTTTCACAAACGCACATCCTTACCTCTCATATCCAAGACCACTGAATCGGAAAACACTTGAGCTGGGAGGAATTGTTGTTGATCAATCACTTAAAGACAAATCAAATCTTAAGGTTCTCTATTTCTTTACAATTTTTGTTACTGGCTAGTTAAGGAATTCGATGCAATCTTGAATGAAAGGAAACATACCGTCCTTGTATCGTTCGGTT